CATACAATGAAATATTGAGCAATAAAAAGAAATAAACTTGGTACATACAACAAGATGGATTAGTCTTAAAATAATTTCGCTGACTGAAAGCCATACCAAAAAGACTACATATGGTATGGGAAAAAAAGTGTATTGCAGTAGCATGAAAAATGGAAGGAAGGAAATGGGAGTTTTCTATTAGGTCTTTAGATTTACCCTACATGAAGCAGGGTATATTTGAAGGCAAACTGATTAAAGATGTGCATTGTAGCCCAGCTGGGGTGGCTCAGTGATTGTCGACCTATGCACCAAGAGGTTGTTGGTTCGATTCCCTGTCAGGGCACATGCCTGAGTTGCGGGCTCAATCCCTGGTAGGGGGTGTGCAGGCCGCAGCTGATCAAAGTTGATTCTTCTCCCATTGATGTTTCCCTCTACCTTTCTCTCTCTAAAAAATGAATTAAAAAAAAAAAAAAAGATGTGTGGTTCAGTGGTTGAGCATCAACCAGTGCATCAAGAAGTTGCTGGTTCAATTCTTGGTCAGGGCACATGCCTGGGTTGTGGGCCCAGTCCCCAGTGTGTGGGCATGCAGAATGCAGCCATTCCATATTTTCTCTCATTGATGTTTCTATCTCTCCCTCTTCTCTATAACATCAATAAAAATAAAAAGGTTAAAAGAAAATATGTGTTTTAAAATCCAAGAGCGCCCTGGCCGGTTTGGCTCAGTGGCTAGAGCGTTGCCCTGCGGTCCAGAGAGACCCGGGTTTGGTTACCGCTAAGGGCACATAACCTTGGTTGCAGTTTGTCCCCGGACCTGGTTGGGTTGTGCGGGTGGCAACCACTTGATGGGCCCTTTTCACGTCAATGTTTCTCTCTCTTGCCCTCCCACTCTATCTGAACAAAATATCAAAAAATGTCCTCGGGTGAGGATTAAAAAGTAAATAAAGTAAAATTCAAAAGCAGTCATTAAAATTAATCTTTTTCATCTCTCCCACTCTTAGCCTCAGGGTTTTGGACAGGGCTCTTACCCCTGGCTCAAAGGTAGAGAGTAAGACTTGGCCGTAACCAATCAGCATGTGGTGGGTGACTAGTGATTGGTTCAGGCCTAGGCGGGTGACAGAGTCAGCCAGTGAGACATATCAACACTTTTCTTGGAAATGCTGGGATAAAGGGTTTAAGGTATTCACAGTCAGATGTAGAAAGTATGGTGAGACCAGGAGCTGTCAGGGTCATTTTATGACTCCAGGGCCTATGTGGGGTTGTAATTCAGTCAACAGGAAGAGGTGGGCGGCTGAGATGGAATAGGGGAAGCAGAAGGCAAGAACTTTTAAGGACTTATCTGATTAGGTCTACCCAGGTCAAGCTCCCTTTTGACTATAAAGTCAACAGATTAGGGACCCTGATTACCTCTGCAGAATCCCTTCATCTTTGCCTTATAACATCAACTAATCACAAAACTGAAATCCCATCATATTCACAAGTGCTTCCCACAATCAAGGGAAAGGGATTATGCAGGCATGTGCACAATGGAATAGGAATCCTGGGGACCATCTCAGAATCCCACTTATACCAAGGACCTAACTGATGCCCCCGTTCCCTACAGTCAATCATGAATCTCTTGGTTTCTGGAATTTTTCCAGACTTACAGATTGTCCTCTGTCTTAATCTATTCACTTGGCTTTACTCATCTCCATTAGAAACTGAGCAATTTGACATTTGCCACAGCTTGCCATGGGTTTGGTGTTTTATAGACATATGTGGAGGTGATCCTTATACTGGAAATGAGGATTAATCCACATGACATCAGAGACCACATTCAGTTGTAAAATTATTTAATTCCAGCCTGCTAACTCCAGTACAAACTCCTGAGAGGTCCTGCCTGACCTGCTCCTGCACACATCTCTGCCCTCACTAGTGTCAAAGTCCACTTTCTGTTTCATACTGTGCTATAAGAACACGAAAGCACTTAGTTTCTAGACTGATATGCTTTCTCAGCTTCACGACAGTGCCTGTGCTATCATCTCAGCCTAGAATGCTCTTACTATACCAACTGATTGCTGCACATCCCTCTATATAAGCTTAGGAATCACTACCCGGGAAATTTTCTTTAATCACCCTCCTACCCCTGTGTGTGGTTTGGGCTCTTATAACCCTCTAAGCTTCCTCCTCGCTTCCTAGAACTTATCACCTGTTATAAATTGAAGAGTCCATCTTTCTACCAATTTCAGCTGTCCAGGAAAGCAGAGAATAAAGCTTCCATTATGATGGGTCCTAGAACTGGCCTGGACTGGTTAAGGGCCATGAATATTTGTTGAGCAAATAAATGGGTTCATTAATGTATGTGTTTGTGATCTGGAGTCTTCCAAGATATTTATGCTTCCCAGTGTCCTGGACCCCATGGCAGAAAGCCCAGCAGTCTCTGGCTCACCTACAGGCTTCAAGTTCATGCATCAGGGCGGGCAATGGGCTTGAGTCATAGGCTCGTTTCTGTTGACCCAGGAAGTCTTTAAATTCTCATCTGCCACCTCTAACCCCTTTGAAAGAGAGTGGGCATTAGGAATTATGCTGGTCATGCTGAAGTATAGAGCTCCATGGTGATAAACTGCAATTAGACAGTGTGCTACCCAGAAGATGGGGTATCAGCATGGGACAGGAATTTTTTATCTCTGTGGGACACCTTGTTCATCTTGCTGAGTATTTGACAGTAGCTTGATCGCCTTTTCCTGAGATCCTCTGGTTATTTTACAGAGGATGAGAGGTGGCCCAAGCCTCACAATAACACTGTTCGGCCCTAAAGTTGTGATAATGGGGAGGAGAGCAGGTAAATGTCCATCATTACCACAGGCAAGAATCCACTGGACAGCATAATAGCAAGGGAATAAGTACCCCAAATTGCTTGAGTATATTACTCCCAAATTGGGATGACAATTCTTCAAGGCAATAAGCATCTATTAACCTCAACTATAATTTAGAATCAAGACTAGAAATATTTTAAACTTGCTAATATTTTTGCATTAAGCAACCAATATAAGTATGATGCTTTAAATTCATATAATATTAAAGATAATTTGGGGAATTCTAACAGATTCTTGACTGATTACAAATGTGTAATTGAAGAGTAGATTTGACATGGAAGGCTTATTAAATTTGTACTGGCATTTAAAAGAACTCCTGACTCAACATATTTGTTTATTTCATTTACAAGAATCACATATGGACTCAAAAGGCTTTGTTAGAAAATTGTGATATTTAAAAAAAGGAAAGTGAATTGTTAAAATTATAAATGCTATTTTAATGCTCTGGCAGGTTTGGCTCAACGGTAGAGGGTCAGCCCACTGACCAATGAGTCCCGGGTTCGGTTCCAGCCAAGGGCACTACCTAGGTTGTGGTTTGACCCTGGCCCTGGGCCGGTGGTGCGGGAGGTGGCCAGTCGTTGTTTCTCTCTCTCCCTTTCTCTCACTCTCCCCCCCCCCCCAGAAGATAAACAGAAAAATATCCTCAGGTGAGGTTAAAAAATAATAATAATAAATGCTATTTCAAAAGGAATTTAGTTAACCAACTTTATTAATGGGACCAAAGAAGTGATTGTTAAAATTGACTAGATTTATGAATGGAATTGTAAATTTTGTCAGTTGAAATGAAGAAAGCTTGATTTGGGAATTTTTAATTTTAATAAAGTGAATATTTTAAAAGTCAAATTAACCTCAATCTTTTCTACTCATGAAACCACTCAGAGGACCTATTTATTTATATCCTCACCCAAGGACTTTTTTTTTTTTTTTTAATATTTTGTTCAGATAGAGTGGGGGAGAGAGAGAGAGAAACATCGACCTGAAAGGGACACATCGAGTGGTTGCCACCCGCACAACCCAACCAGGGCCAGGGACAAACTGCAACCGGGTACATGCCCTCCTTAGCGGGAACCGAACCTAGGTCTCTCTGGACCGCAGGCCGACGCTCTAACCGCTGAGCCAAACAGGCCAGGGCGAGAGCCCCCCCCCCCCCCTTTTTAAAAAGACTTAGGCCCAGCTGGTGTGGCTTAGTGGATTGAGCATCGCCCCAAGGACTGAAAGATTCCGTGTCAGGGCATATGCCGCCCAGGTTGCTAGGGGGGTGTGCAGGAGGCAACCCATAGATGTATCTCTCTCACATCAATGTTTCTCTCTCTCTTGCCCTTCCTCTCTCTAAAAAATAAATATATATTTTTTAAAACTTACAATGTAATGGGACCGTAGAATTTGGAGGGAACAGGTTGTGTATGAAATCAAGGGGGGCCAGTAGTAAATCAAGTGGGCTGGAAGTCGGGGAGAATAAAGAAATGCTTTGGTAGGAGTCATCCAGCAACCAGAATCATGGGACCTTGGGGTGGGGGGAGCAGTTTCTGGCCACAACAATAGGGATGTGACCAAGAGAATAGGTAGCCAATTAGAGAGAAAGGACTGTCATTAGAGATGAGAAGGTGGACAAAGACCTGATAAGACAGATGCTCATTTTGAATGAATGGCCAGTTGTGTATAACTCAGAAGGGGACACTGGTCATATAACAGTCTACGTGAACGGCGCTTCCTGGCATTGTGCAGTGAAAAATCTGTAGAGCCATATACAGTGGTTCAGAGACCCTGAAGTCGCCAAGAAGGATGACAGGAGTACATGTGTGTAGGTGAGACAGGAGGTAAAATCCTTGGTAAGCAAAAGCAATAGCTTCTAATTGTGGGGTAGTTACTTTCCCAATAACTGAGTTCAGTGTTTTTATTATCAGTATCACTTTACAAATAAAAAAAGGAAAAAAATGACAAAATCTAGTCCAGAACACACGAGCGCCACACTCTACTTCAGGTGGAACTCTCCCTGGAGCGCTCCCTGCGCTTTTCCTCTCGGTTTAGAGCGCCTGCGCGCGAGCCCCGGAGCTCGCCGCTCGTCCCAGCAGAGAGAACGGTCACGTGGCGGCGCGGGGGCGGAGCCCGTGTCGGGAAGCCTACACGCCTGCGCGTGGCGGGCGACGGAGCGGAGCCTGCCGGGTGGTGCGGGAGCGACTTCACTCTGCTCCGCCCCCAGCCGGGGCTCAGGCCAGGGCCCGGGCCCCCGGGATATGGCCTCCCGGAGTGCGCAGGGTGACGTCCCCACCTCCGGTCGCTGGGACGATGGCGCGGAGACGGCAGGTATGGAAGCCAGCCGGGGCGTCGAGGGTGGCCTGCGTGGACGGCCCGAGGAGCCGGGGACAGCTGTCGGAGGAACGGGTCCCAGCGCAAGCGGCGCCCGACGGGCCGCCTGGGGTGCGCCCAGGGCCGCGGGCCGGGATCGGGACGGCGGGAGAGGAAAAGGCTGAAGGGAAAGAGAGCCTAGAATCGGGGGTCCACGGACGCTGAGGAGACCAAAGGAAGTGTGGTGGCAGAACCGCATCCCCAGTGGGAAGGACGGGGCGGGGACTCTGCGCCCGGTCTCGTCACGTCCGAAAGGGAGAATTGGGTCTGTGAGAACTGATGTTTAACCTGAGACTGTCCGGCCACATCCGCAGACTCTTGGTGCCGCCTCCCTAGCTGTAAGGCAGCTTCCCAAACTTCATCTTTCTCTCTCTTGATTGACGTGGTGTGAGTGACCACTTATAATACCATAAAATCCAACCCTTTTAGAGTGTACGGTTCAGTGGTTCATAGTACTTTCACAGGGTTGTGCAATCAGCACCATTGTCTAATTCCAGAACATTAGTATCCCAAAAAGAAAGCTCATCTCCCGTTCCCCAGTCTCCACAGCTCCTGGCAGACACTAATCTACTTTATGTCTCAATCCTGCCCCACCTATTTGAATGTTATTTAATTGTGTAAAAAGCTATTTTCTATTTTCATACTGTTTCATACTAAACAATTATTTCTATGAAATCATGGTTTCGCTGTGAACTGTTTTCAAATATGTTTTACATATAATTAAGACATGACAGTTAAAGGTATTAATGTTTACTCTGTACCAAGTAAAACAATCTCTTTTTCCTCTGGGGAAGACTAAAGTAGCTTTCCCACTTTTTCATCCATTAATGGGTGGTGTCCATAAAAGAATCAATTGACATATTCAACCCACGTATTTTGATGAAGCACCTGGTATCCGCATCTTGTTTCCCTGGGCTCCTTTTCTGTTATTCCCCCTTTTCTCCTGTTCTACTACTGGATGGAAGTGGAGCTCATTCATCATACTACTTCCCTGGGCCCTTTGGCCTTGTAACCTTTTATGGTGTTTGTATGACATCTGTCTTTATGGCATAATAATCCATGCTTCAAGTGGTACAGGTCTTGTGACCTGTTGCAGCACAATTGTGCCTAGGTTTTGAGTCTTTACCTCCCAGTTTACTTAATTTTACTTCTCTGGATGAATGAGAGGACCTTAGAAATCAGTGTTGTTGTTTTTTTTGCCCTGGCCAGTTTTGCTCAGTGGTTAGAGCGTCGGCCCATGGACCAATGACTGGTGCGTTTGATTCTGGTCAAGGGCACTGTACCTTGAATGCAGTTTATCCCTGGCTTCGGTCCAGGTCGTACAGGAGGCAACCAGTCAATGTGTCCCTCTCATGTTGATGTTTCTCTCTCTCTCTCCCTCTCTCCTACTCTATCTGAAGATAAATAGAAAAATATCCTCAGGTGAGGATTAAAAACAAACAGATGAAAATCAGAGTATTGGGGTTTTTGTTTTTCCTGTTTGTTTTTTATCCTCACCTGAGGACATTTTTTCATTTTTTGTTCAGATAGAGCGGGAGGGAGAGAGAGAGAGAGAGAGAAAAAGAGAGAGAGAGAGAGACATCGACCTGAAAGGGACACATCGAGTGGCTGCCACCCACAGGACCCAACCAGGGCCAGGGACAAACTGCAACCAAGGTACGTGCCCTTAGCAGGAACTGAACCAGGGTCTCTCGGGACCGCAGGCCAACGCTCTAACCACTGAGCAAAACCAACCAGGGTTACTGTTTGTTTTTGTTGTGGTTTTAATCATATTGTAGAATTGACAAAGTGGCTAACACTAGAAGCTCTCCTTTGTACAGTTCATGATCAGATTGGTTTACTCTAGAATATTTTTCTGCATTGTTGAGGTAAAGCAGTCTTTCTTAATATCCACTTGTCTTTATGTTTCAAGTAATGAATCTCTGCTAATTCTGGTATTGTTTGTTGAAACTAAATAGGACCTCCAAAAACAGAGGCTACTTTGTTTTATTTTGTTTTTAATAGGAACCTTACTCAGAAAAAGGTAAGGTTTTCCTCTCGCACTGTCTTTCTCCAGTACAGGTATGAAGTTCAAGCATAAATTTTTTTTTTTTTAATTTTGTTTTCTTTATTGACTTTTAGAGAGAGGAAGAGAGAGGGAGAGAGAAATAGAACATCGATTGGCCGCCTCCTGCATGCCCCCCACTGGGGATTTGGTCCACAACCTAGGCATGCGCCCTGACCAGAAATCAAACCTGTGACCTCTTGGTGCATGGGTCGACCACTGAGCTACACTGGCCGGGCTCAAGAATAAAATTTTAAGTTAATTTTCGATATCAACATTAGGAGTTCAAGGGGTGGGGTTGGGTGGTATCTGTCTAAAGGTGTATGTGTGTGTGTGTGTCTGTCTCTTTCTCCGACTGGCTCTGTCATTGTTTTGATAAGGCTAATATTGCTTAGTTTGAGTTTAACTTCTAGTTAAAGACTGCAAAGCTTTCTTGATATGTAAGCTTAAACCAAATAGTAAGTATGGAATTTTGTCCTTTCATATAAGATTCCATTATTACGTATGTAGATCTCTTACCTGATATAAGTCATTAATATGTATTTTGCTGATATGGAAAAACTTTTAGAGGAAGCCTAGCTAGTGTTCATCTTTAGTCCTTATCCTTTCCACATATGTACAGTTACCCAAGGCAGGTGCTTTTGGAGAAACCTGTTGCTCTGAATAGGCAGAAATCTTTACCTGGGTTCTATAGTCCGAGATGGGAAAGGTTTGAGACAGTAACAGGCTCAGCCATCTTTATCTGAACTATTAAGAGCTACTGCTTCAGTGGCCCTTATTAATGTGATGATTTTAATGGAGAGCCAAGTAGTGCCTGTATCATTTTTTTCCAGTGTTAAATAAATTGCTTTTTAGGCATCAAGGATTTATTTATAGCAGTGTCTCATATTTTGCAGTCAGCTGTAGGATAATTTTATTTTGTTGTGGTTATGATAGCCAAGACCTTTTACTGTAAAGGAATTTGGAAAGTATCAACTTTGGAATATGTAATACATCTCTCTCGTAAGTAGGGGGAAAGAAATTGGAGAAGAAAGGACTCAGGGGGATTGGGATTACATACATGCTACCTCACGATGAATGTGGGCTTTTATCCCAAGCCCACTATTAACATTCTCAAGTCCAGAAGTGCGTGTCCCACCCCAAAATCCTTATATAAAATTTATCTTATTTATTTTTATTTTTTTTATCCTCACCCGAGGACATTTTTCCATTTTTTGTACAGACAGAGTGGGAGGGAGAGAGGAAGAGAGAGAGTGAGAAACATCGATGTGAAAGGGACACATCGAGTGGCTGCCACCCGCACGACCAACCAGGGCTGGGGACAAACTGCAACCAAGGTACATGCCCTTAGCAGGAACTGAACCCGGGTCTCTCTGGACCGCAGGCGGGCGCTCTAACCACTGAGCAAAACCGGCCAGGGCTATAAAATTTATCTTAAATAGTAGGCATTAATTTTAATATTTTCCTGAGCATCCCAAGAATAGCTTTGTGATTTTTCTCTGAGATGAAGAAGATGTGTGTAAGTTAGTTTTATTTGAGACTGCTAACCTTTTTTCCCCTCATTATGTAATCTAGCAGATCATATCACTTTGTAATTTACACATCTCTAGGTCACTTGAGTTTTCTGTTTCCTCTTCCTTTTTTATGTCACAATGAGAGCTTATATATTAGGTGTAATATTTGTGTGTGGGGAGGTGGCATACTTACAAGTGCCTTCCTTATCTGCCATTAATATTTAATCGCTCTCGGCCCATGGACCAAAGGGTCGCAGGTTCAATCCCCAGCCCCAGTCAGGGTCGTGAGGGAGGCAACCAATTGATGTGTCTCTCTTGCATCGATATTTCTCTCTCTCTCCCTCCCTTCCACTCTATCTAAAAATCAGTGGGAAAATATTCTTGGGTGAGGATTAACAACAACAACAACAAAACTTAAATCTCTTAACTGTGGGATTGAGGAAGGTGATATTGGGACCTAAATAGACAGCAGCTAAAATCCATATTGGTGCAACATCCTACTCTGGTAAGTACTAGTAGCTTTAGAAAAAGGCCAAAGAATTTACAAATCTACAGTTATGTGCCATATTACAATGTTCCAGTCAATGATGGACAGCACTATACCATATAGTCTAGGTGCTCAGTGGGCTATACCATTTAGGTTTGTGTAAGTGCACTCTGCGATGCTTGCACAACAATGAAATTTCCTGTCCAGCCAGTGTGGCTCAGTGGTTAAGTGTCAACCCAGGCACCAAGAGGTCACCAGTTCGATTCCTGGTCAGGCCACATGCCCAGGTTGTGGGCCTGATCCCCAGTGGGGGGCATGCAGGAAGTGGCCAATTGATGTTCTCTCATCAATGTTTCTATCTCTCTCTCACTTCCTCTCTCTCTAAAATCAATAAAAGAAAAAAAAAATTTTTTTTTAAAGAAATTTCCTAACAACACATTTCTGAGAACATACCCCATTGTTAAGAACACGTGACTGTGTTTAGAGTTGTGCATTAGGCATATTCTTTAAAGTAGTATGGGCAAAATAATGTCATTTATTATAAGCCAATATTTCCAAAGGAACAATAGCTAAGCTAAATTTTTTATTCTCTTCTGTACGTATTTATTGCATTCCCACAGAGCACTGAAAACCAGGAGATAATAGTAAATTTTGTAATGTGGGATTAAAAATAGAATTGGAACACGATGTTAAGAAATCTAAGTACTGGAGCTGTGGTTAGGGTTCAGAATTAGTAAAAATTCTGGCAGATAATTTACCAAAACCTAATGGAAATCTAGCTGATTGCAAGCAGTGTTATTTTCCTCAAGATACAAGCAAGGATTTTCCCCATATTGCTGAATAGCTTACTTGGAAGAGGGGCAGGATGGATATATATGTAAACAAATGGAGGAATATTTTCCACTCTTAGCAAGTAAGTTAACAGGATTTCTAAACGTCAGCTTATCTCAAACTGTATTCATATTACCATTTAAGTGTTCTTAATTTGTGATGTGTAAAAAATAGAAGGAAACTCAAGTAAAAAAAAAAAAAATTACAGACTATCTGGTACTTTATATTCTTTGTTGGAAATTAATTCAATTCCTGCTCATGTTTTGTCTCTGTTAAATAAAAAGTCTTCTCTGTGTCCTGCTTGTATGTGATCCCTCTTTGAAAACATATAGCCTTCTCTTCGACCCAAAGTAAAAATGTCTTTCTTTCCTTGAGTTAGGATAAAGCCTGGACTACTATTTAGCAGGATAAATCCAGCCCAGACTCTTTCATAAGCTACATTTATTACAATCCTTCAAGCCTCTGTCCTCTTCTTTTATCTAAGACTTCAGCCTCAGAGAATTATCTCTGTGTTTTCTGGACATGATGTTTCTTTCATGTGACAACGTCTTTGCTTACACTCCTCTCCCTGCAGTGCTCTCCCTTCAACCACTCTTCCATGTGCAGTATTGTTGTTTTTTTTGAGGACATTTTTCAATATTTTGTTCAGATAGAGTGGGAGGGAGAGAGAGAGAGAGAAACATCGATGTGAATGGGACAGATCGAGTGGTTGCCACCCACACGACCCAACCAGGACCGGGGACACACTGCAACCAAGGTACGTGCCCTTAGCGGGAACCGAGCCAGGTCTCTCCAGACCGCAGGCCAACACTCTAACTGCTGAGCCAGACTGGCCAGGGCCCAAGGATATTTTTCTACTTACATTTTTGAAAGTACAGATAGCTGGAGGGATTTGCTATGAACTATTATGCCAGAATTTTAGGCGTGAGCCAGGAATCTCTCAGACAAACTGAAAGAGATGGTCACTATGCTACATTGCCAGGGAAAAGAACACTCTAGCCAAGAGAACAGGTTTACCTAGGTGAAAAGTCACCTGTGTTATTTTCCTCTTTGCACCTCCAATTACTTGTGACTCAAAACCAGTTAATTTATATGTCACAGCTCTCAGGTAGGTAACCAGGACCATTAGTACCAACTTTAGTTTGTGTTAATGTGCAGTTTTGTCATGGAAACAATTTGTAGACTGTTGCCTCAGAATAGAAAATTATTGAGGAAAGCTGATTAGTATCCCTTCTAAACCTAATCTACCTTCCACTGTTAGTCTTCTCTAAAGCCTAACCTACCTTCTGGAGTTTATCTTTCACCTTTCGTAACTCCAGTGCCTTACACCTTGTGTATGCTACATAAATATTTTTAACGAGTCTGTTTACTGTTAAATGAAAAGGCCTTGTGTTTCCTGTCTGCAAGTCTTTTTTCTGCTCTCTCCCTCTCTTCCCAGACTCTTGAAATCCTCCTTTTCCTTTTTTTTTTTAAATTTGTTTTTATTGATTTTTTTTTAGAGGAGAAGGAGACAGAGATAGAAACATCAGTTGGTTGCCTCCTGCACACCTCCTGCTGTTGATCGAGTCTGCAACCTGGGCATGTACTCTGACCAAGAATCAAACCAGCGACCTTTTGGGGTGTGGGACGATGCTCAATCCACTGAGCCACACTGGCTGGGCTCCTTTTTAAACCATACTCTTCGGTAATGCCTTCTGAGATTAGTCTAACCCTACATCATTCTTTGAGCTCTTGTTGTCTGCACGTTACCTTTTTTGGCAACTATAGTGCACTCCTTTGTGATATCGCTCTCTTTTTTTTTTTTTATCCTCACCCGAGGACATTTTTGGATATTTTGTTCAGATAGAGTGGGGGGGGGGGGGAGAGAGAGAGAGAGAAACATCGATGCAAAAGGGCACATCGAGTAGCTGCCATCCGCACAACCCAACCAGGGCCAGGGACAAACTGCAGCCGAGGTACATGCCCTTAGTGAGAACTGAGCCCAGGTGTCTCGGGACTGCAGGCCAACGCTCTAACCGCTGAGCCAAACCGGCCAGGGCTGTGATATCTCTTTTATGGTGTCTTGTTTAACTTTTCTTGTGTTTGCTGTTCCTAAAATTAGACATTCTGCATGAAAACTCAACCTATTACTCCATTATTTTAAATAGAAAAATTATAATATGATAAACATCAACCACAAATTCTTGACCAATTTCCTAATAAGTAATTTAAACACAGTAAAATGCCTATGTATAAATAATAAACTATCACATAAGGATGTAAGATGCTTAAAACATTACTTCCTGATCATAGTAATTAATAAGGTTTTTAAGAAACAGTTGCTTTGTGTGTAGTATTATGCCTCTCTTACCACCCACACTGGAGACCCAAGTATACTTTTGACATTCTGATTTTGAAAATATTTCTCTGATTCTGATGTTTTACCAGTAACTGAAAACTTTTGTGGTTTTGTTTAAAAACATGGTATTGAATTTTGGTGGCATGCATACCATGCATAAACATTTTTCTTCTAGAAACAACAGGAAAAAAATTATATTAAGAGATACATATGCTCCAAAACTTGGTATTAAGAAAGAACAGGCATTCTATTAGGAAAACATTGATAGTAACTGTTAGATATGCCTGAATTTACTGAACATTTATTGTAATTGTAATTGCTTGCTAATTGTTTACATGCTATGTCTCCTTAGTGTTAATTAACACATAATGTCTTAATTAAATATCTGTAGGTTTGCTTTAAATATACCTACCTGTACTTCAGACCAAGTAAGGAGATTGAGCCCTGAACAGAAAATGTACACATGCTAAATATGTGCCTAATGCCCCTCTATACCCATTTTTTTGTTTGTTCTGTTTTGTTGTTTGTTTTGGGTTTTTTTTGCAGGCTTTAACACCAAAAGGAAAAAGAAATTGGCAGGAATATACCAGGCTTTGAACAGTGATCCTATTGATGTGGCTGCCCTTAGACGCATGGCTATTAGTGAAGGAGGGCTCCTGACTGATGAGATCAGGCGAAAAGTGTGGCCCAAGCTCCTCAATGTCGACACCAGTGACCCACCTCCTGTATCAGGTAAGGGGAGGAGTGCTGTGAGGGGAGCTTATTTAGGAGGCAAGGGAAAAAAAAGAATTCCAAGACCTTTGATTTTTATGTTAATGTTAAACCAAGAGTAGATGAGTAAATGTAAAGCACTTGAGGATATGATTGGGCCAACTGAAAATAAAGCAAAACTAATCAGTACAATTTTATTCAAAAATGGAATGTGCTTTTATTAGGTAGGTATGTAGGGAGCTTTTAGGCTAGGTAAAGGAGTTTATTTAAAATCTACATTCTAGTCCGGCTGGTGCGGCTCAGTGGTTGAGCATCGACCCATGCACTAAGAGGTTACCGGTTCGATTCCCGGTCAGGGCACATGCCCAGGTTGTGGGTCAAATCCCCAGTGGGGGGCATGCAGGAGGTGGCCAGTTGATGTTCTTGCTCATCAATGTTTCCATCTCTCTCTCTCCCTCTCTCTTCCTCTCTCTCTCATATCAATAAAGGGGAAAAAATAATTAATTTTAAAAAATAAAATGCCCATTCCAGTGTATGTTTACTTAGAGATGGATTGTAGAAATTTGTATTTTAACAAATACTCCACCTAATTCTGATGTAGATGGACTACATTTTGAGAAACGTTAGGCTATGGGGAGAAATAATATCTTTAAAAAAACACAAAAGAATTTTTATTGGAAAATGCTAGAGTTGTTTGAATTCTAAAATTCTGTGAAAAACTGTTCCTTAACTAATCTGCAAGGCCTACGTAGTAAAGTAGTTCCTTGGACTACAGTCAGAATATATACAAAAATACTACAGAACAGTGAACCCCGTTTGTCATTCATTCACTCAACAAACATTTATTGCTTTCCTGCTGTGTATGGCAAAAGTTCAGCTGTTGATTCTTTGGCTCATTTGGCAGATATTAGTTGTGCTCCTGTTGTATGTCAGATACTGGAGATGATTAAAACAGCTCCTCCAATAAAAGTTCACAATGTCATAGTGCAGCCGAGTAGGTGTTAAGTTGCCACTTGTTATTATCTTTGAAACTGGCTGCCTCAGAGCAGTCAGCTTTTTGTTGGAAGGAAAAGGCATTGCCATGTTCACACTCTGAATCCTAAGATGCTGTTTCTTCTATCAGATTCCAGATTTCCCCTATCTTTATAAGATGAAGTCTGTGTGGGGAAGTTGTGCAGACTCCTCTGGTAGCTTTTGATTTTGGTTTGTGAAGGAAATGAGGACTTGTTATACAACACTTGGTTTGGGTTGAGGGAAATGTACACTTGTTATATATATAACAGCTAGAGACTGCCTCTTTTCTTTCACACTGTTATTGAGCTTATCACCTGAACACAAGTGTTGTGTCCTATTTGAAGTCTCTTAGTTTTAGAATTTCTGGGTCAAGAGAAGTTAGGGTCTTCTTTATATGTGTTTATCTTAATACTCCTTTTTTTTTTTATTGCTGAATTTCTTTCTTTCTTTTTTTTTTTATCCTCACCCGAGGACATTTTTCCATTTTTTGTTCAGATAGAGTGGGAGGAAGAGAGAGGATGAGAGAAAGAGAGAGAAACATCGATGTGAAAGGGACACATCGAGTGGCTGCCTGCCACACGACCCAACCAGGGCCAGTGACAAACTGCAACCGAGGTATGTGCCCTTAGCAGGAACCTGGGTCTCTCTGGACCGCAGGCCAACGCTCTAACTGCTGAGCCAAACTGGCCAGGGCTCTTTTTTTTTTTTAATTTATTTTTGTTACAGATGTTTCTCTTTTTCTCCCATTGACACCCTCCTCCCCAATCCCCCCGTCATACTCCTTTTTGAACAAATCAGTGCTTCCTAGACTTTAAAGATGTTAGAGTTTTTTCAGTGTTCTATAGTCTCCATATTCTTGATATTTGATCCTTACAGTAACCTGAGAGATACATTATGGAAGGGAATACAATATTGCCATTTTACAGATGTGGACTTTGAATTCAGAGCAGTACCCCAGTGATGCCACAAGAGGGCCCTGGCCTTCTGACTTCTCTGCAGCCCTTTTACCCTAACTCTGTTACCTCCTAGACAATGCTATCCCTCCTCTCAGGTCATCAGGACTTGCGTGAAACATGTTTAGGACTAAACCCAGGATTCCTCTTTAAATGTTGTATTTTGAGTCATGTTCTCTTCAGGAAAACATGGGAATATGTCCTCCTGGCTTTTGGTGTAATACCAGGATTATTTTGCTCCTGATATGGCTTCCCAGGCTTTCCTACAATGACATGTTCCTTTTCCTCCAACAGGTAATAACCTACGACAGATGAGCAAGGACTACCAACAAGTGCTGCTAGATGTCAGGCGGTCCTTACGGCGGTTTCCTCCTGGTGAGAGCTCTGTTCGTCTTGTTACACGGAGGTTTCTGTCCCAGTTGTACTTGTGTTGATGCTTGCCAGTCCCAGGGAGTTTCCATCCCAGCACACAGTGTGACAGTGTGACCAACTGTGTACTCCCAGTCTGCTGAGTCATTCTTTTATTTGTTCTGTCACATTCAGACCCCCGCTGAAATCTGAGCCAAAAGTAATTTGGCCTAGAGGTGGCAAATGAGCCCCCGCCCCCCTTTCAGAGCCACAGAAGAGTCTTCATAGGGATTTCTACAGCCATCAGTCTGGCTTTAAAGAGCATATTGGTTTGAAAGTGGGCACTGACAAGAACTATTAATATCTTCTTTGATTAGATTTATAAATAGTGTTGTCTTGCATATACACATATTGAGTTTCTTGGACTAGAAGGGAGGGCATTCCCTGAATATTTAAAGTCTGTTCTTAAAATTGCCTCCCTATTTCAGGAAGAATGAGAAGAATGACCATTGTCTCCATTTTCACAGTGAAAGAAAGTAGGCAACAAACCCCATGTTTATGATCTGTTTCTCTTTCTTTGGCAACTCCACCTTTAGGTCCATGAAAGAAGAATTGCTAAAGGGAAAATCAGTTGCTGCAGCACACTGGTGTGCCACAAGAATTTTTAAGGGGCTAGGGATGGGGCAGAGGGGGCACTGTGGTCCTAGGCGGGGGTTCAGCAAGGGTCTGAGATGCTGAGATGCCAGTGTCTATAATGAGGCCCAGGAGGGGCACTGCCCTGGGAGCCAGTGAGGTGGGTAGCCAGGACCATGTTGGGACAGACCTACTGCTTCAAGATGGATCAATCGATGGTGGTGGTTGAGGGGGGCCTTGGGAGTGCGGCAAGACGGCACTGCTTCAGGTGTTTGCCAAGGACTCCTACCCTAGGAGTTATATCTCCACCATGTTTGAGAACTACACCACAAGCTTGCATTGACCTCAACATGTGGGACACTTCAGGTTCTCTTACTATGATAATGCCTAGCCCCTGGCCTATGCTGATTCAGACGTTGTGCTCATCTGCTACACTTAAGCTGACCAAAAACACTGGATAGTGTCCTCAAGAAGTGGCAAGGAGAGTTTTTCCCCAATGCCAAGGTTGTGCTGGTTGGGTATAAACTGGACATGCAGACCAATCTGGCCACACCAAGGGAGCTGTCCAAATAGTAGCTTATCTCTGTTACACATGAGCAGGGCATTGTGCTGGTTAAGCAGGTGGGGGTCGTGATCTACATGGAGTGTTCCTCCCAGTCCTCTGAGCGCACCATCAGGGATGTCTTCCATGTGGCCACAATGGCCCTATTTGGCTGTGGCCATCAGTAGTTGCACTGTACTGACTCACACCTGGGACTGTAGCAATCCGCTCAGCTGGCAGGATGGCCGGACTGGGGGAGCAGGAACAAAGACGAGATACACAAGGATCCAAGCTAAGAGTTGCAACCTCATGTGAAGAGCCAGGGAGAGGCAGAGTGTCAGGAGGGGTGGTGAAGGGCACAATTGTTCCTCTACCTGCACCCTGGCTTCCTGACCTCCTGACTGGGCTGGGACTTCAGGATAGGCTGAATGAGCAATTCTCCTAGGCAAGGGACCCTGAGGCAGAGGAGTGTGCCACCATTCCCCACATCTTCATCCCTCTCCTCTCCATAGGAAGTTGAGAGAGCTGGCAGGGCAGGCATCTGGACCAGGAACTGGGATATGGCAGGGGATTGGGGAAACGCATCAAACAGTGACCTTGGTTGAGTTTCAGTATATGAAGGATACCTTCCCTCCCCACCCCCAGGCCCCATATCCTGGTCCTGGCTTCCTTCCCTAAGGAAAGTGTCCATTTCATGGCCTTCCCTTTTCCTTTCCTTTCCTTTCATGTCTATAGCTGTTGTCACTCATCCTAACCTCCAGGCAACATGCACTAATTAAAAAGCAAGTTGGGAAGCCCCTACCCGCACATATCCACGAGTCCTAGCTCCTCCTTCTGTTCCCCCAACAGTCCCTAAATAAAATTTATGGGTGAAAAAAAAAATTTTTTTAAATATGCAATACCTGACTATTTAGTCAGGGACACTAACATCTTTTCCCTTAGAGCAGTGGTTCTCAACCTTCCTAATGCCGTGACCCTTTAATAGTTTCTCGTGTTATATGTGGGCGTATCTGCATGTGGGTGGACCTGCCTGGAGATGGATAGAGTAGTGGTGTCTTGGTTCCTAAGACCATGGGAAATATGTGTTTTCCAACGGTCTTAAGCGACCCACAGGTTGAGAACTGCTGCCTTAGAGTGTCAAAACAATAAAATAAAAATGACAACAGCCAACACAACAATAGCTATATGGTGTGAATGAATCGAAATTATACCTGTTGTGTTTTTTTTTGTCAAATTGGCAAAAAAAGAAATATTTTTTGGTGTGCTGCAGAATTTTAGTAATTAGTTTATGTATGCCATGAGATGAAAGAGGTTGAAAATCACCGCTCTAAACCCATTGCTTCACTCTTCTGAACTCATGCTTTGGCTTGGATTTTGTCTGTTAAAGAGCCTTTCTTCCTGCTTATATCTTTGCTCCCTGGAGAGATTCTTGTGATTCTCATGTAGCCAGTGGCCTGCCATTTTGTTTTTTATTTTAATTTTATTTGTTTACTTATTTATTTTTATTGAAGTATAATTGACATATAACAGTATGTTGCTTTCAGGTATACAACATAATGATTCAAGATTTGTATATATCCAGCTTGGTTTTAATGAAGACCTTTGCCTGTGCTCCAATCCCCTTTTCCTGTCTGCTGCTTTTAAGTTTTGTTTTATTTGTGTGTTTTTTAAAATAACTTTAATTTCAGCTTTTGTGTTGAAGACAAACTTTTTAAAAAGAAGTCTACAATGACAATTATTTTTTGTGTTATTTATTTTTATTTTTTTTATATTTCAATTATAGTTGACATTTAATATATTAGTTTCAGGTATACAGCATAGTTGTTAGACATTTATAACTTAAGAAGTGATTTCCCCGATAAGTCTAGTATTCACCTGGCAGCATACATAGTTATTACAGTATTATTGACTATAATCCCTGTGCCATACTTTACGTCCCCATGACTATTTTGTAACTACCAATTTGTTCTTCTTAATACCTTTACCTTTTCACCTAACACTCCTTCCATCTGGCAACCATCAGTTTGTTCTCTGTTACCTATGAGTTTGTTTCTTTTTTGATTGTTCATTTATTTCGTCTTTTGGATTCCACATATAAGTGAAATCACATAGTATTTGTCTTTCTCTATCTGACTTATTTCACTAAGCATAATACCCTCTACAGCATAACCCACATTGTTGCAGATGGTAAGATTTCACATTCTTTTTTTTTACAGCCAAGTAATATTCCATTTTACATACGGTCCACGTTTTCTTTGTCTATTGATGGACACTTGGTTGATTCTATATCTTGGCTATTGTATATGAAATGTCCTTCGTTGTCTCTTGTTATAGCTTTTGTTTTAAAGTCTATTTTGGCTTTCTTTCCAACTCGGGCCCGGCATAATGGCTCCCGCAAAGAAGGGTGGGGTGAAGAAAGGCCATTCTGCCATCAACAAGGTAGTGACCAGAGAATATACCATCAACATGCACAAGCGCATCCATGGAGTGGGTTTCAAGAAGTGTGCCCCTCGAGCATTCAAGGAGATCTGGAAATTTGCCACGAGGGAGATGGGAACTCCAGATGTACACATTGACACCAGGCTGAACAAAGCTGCCAGCCAAAGAAATAAGGAATTGCCCTGGCCGGTTTGGCTCAGCGGTTAGAGCGTCGGCCTGCGGTCCAGAGAGACCCGGGTTCGGTTCCCGCTAAGGGCACGTACCTCGGTTGCAGTTTGTCCCCGGCCCTGGTTGGTCGTGCGGGTGGCAGCCGCTCGATGTGTCCCTTTCACGTTGATGTTTCTCTCTTTCTCTCTCTTCCTCTCTCCCTCCCACTCTACCTAAACAAAAAATGGAGAAAATGTCCTCGGGTGAGGATAAAAAACAAACAAACAAAAAAAAAAGAAATAAGGAATGTACCATACCGTATCTGGGTACAGTTGTCCGGAAAACGTAATGAGGATGAAGATTCACCAAACAAGCTCTATATACATTGCTCACCCATGTACCTGTTACCACTTTCAAAAATCTACAAACAGCCCTGGCCAGTTTGGTTCAGCGGTTAGAGCGTCGGCCTGCGGTCCTGAGAGACCCGGGTTCGGTTCCCGCTAAGGGCACGTACCTCGGTTGCAGTTTGTCCCCGGCCCTGGTCGATTGTGCGGGTGGCAGCCACTCGATGTGTCCCTTTCACATCGATGTTTCTCTCTCTTTCTCTCTGTTCCTCTCTCTCCCTCCCACTCTACCTGAACAAAAAATGGAAAAATGTCCTCGAGTAAGGATAAAAAAGATAAAAAATAAATAAATCTACAAAGAGTTAATGTGAATGAGAACTAACTGTTGATTATCAAATAAACTTACAAAACTAGGGGTGGGGGTCTGTTTTGTCTGATATAAATATTGCTACTCAGCTTTTTTTTTTTTTTTCATTTGCATGAAATATCTTTTTTTAAAATATTTTAAAAATAATTTTTTTTATTGATATTTTTAGTGAGAAAGGAAGGGAAAGGGAGAAAGAGATAGAAACATCAATGAGAGAGAACATCAATTCTGCCTCCTGCATGCCCCCCACTGGGGATTGGGCCCACAACCTGGGCATGTGTCCTGAACAGGAATCGAACCTGAGACCTCTTGGTGCATGGGTTGATGCTCAGCCACTGAGCCACACCAGCCGGACTGCATGAAATATCTTTTTCCATCCCTTCACTTTCAGTCTCTTTGTGTCTTTTGATCTAAAGTGGGTTTTTGTTGGCAGCGTACGTGTGGGTCTTGTTTTCTTCTCCATTCAGCCACCCTGTGTCTTTTGACATCGGTATATAGTTATTGATAAATTATAAGTATGTAATTATTGCCATTTTATTATTTATATTTTTGGTCTTTTTCTCTTCCTCTGCTTAAAGAAGTTCCTTTAACATTTCTTGTAATACTGGTTTGGTGGTGATGGACTCTAGCTTTTTCTTGTCCGGGAAGCTTTTTATATCTTAAATTCTTTTTTTTTGTTTTTAATTTTTTTTCTTTATTGACTTTTAGAGAGAGGGGAAGGGAGAGGGAGAGAAAGCTAGAAACATTGATGGGAGAGAACAGTGACTGGCCACCTCCTGCATGCCACCCACTGAGGATTGAGCCCACAACCTGGGCATGTGCCCTGACCAGGAATTGAACTGGCGACCTCTTGGCACATGGGTCCACGCTCAACCACTGAGCCACACTAGCCAGGCCTATATCTTCAATTCTAAATGCTAGCCTATGGGGTAGAGTAATCTTGGTTGTAGGTCCTTCCTTTTCATCACTTTGAATATTTCGTGCCAATCTCTTCTGGCATAGAAAGTTTCTGTTGAGAAATTAGCTGTCAATCTTACAAGTGCTCCCTTGTATGTAACTAACAGCTTTTCTCTTGCTACTTTCACGATTCTTTCTTCGTCTTTAATCTTTGATATTTTAATTATGATGTGTCTTGGTGTGGACCTCTTTATTTTCATCTTGTTTGGGACTCTGCTTTCTAAGGTTGCATGCCTATTTTCTTCACTAGGCGAGGGAAGTTTTTTGTTATTCTTTTTCCAAATAGGTTCTCAATCTCTTGTTCTCTCTTTTCCTTCTGGTACCCCTATCATGTGAATGTTGTTATGCTTGATACCATCCCAGAAGTCCCTTAAACTATCCTCTTTTTTAAAAAAAATTATTTTGCCTGGCTGGTGTGGCTCGGTGGATTGAGAGTCCCATGGGCTGGGAGGTCCTGGTTTGACTCCCGGTCAGGGCATGAGTCCAGGTTGCAGGCTCAATCCCTAGAGGAGGCATGCAGGAGGCAGCTAATCGATGTTTGATCAATGTTTCTATCTCTCTCCCTTATTCTCTCTCTAAAAATCAATAAAAACATTTTTTTTTTTTTCTTGTTCTGATTGGGTGTTTTCTACTTGTCTTCCAAATCGCTAATTTGATTCTCTCCTTCATCTAATCTGCTATTGATTTCCATCTAATGTAGTCTTCATTTCAGTTATTGTAGTCTTCATTTCTGACCTTTTATGGTTTTTGTCTCTGTTAATTTCTCACTGAGTTCATCTATTCTTTCCCTAAGTTCATTGAGCATCCTTATAACCAGTGTTTTGAACTTTGTATCTGGTAAGTTGTTTGCCTTCATTTTGTTTAGCTTTCTTTTCTGGAGTTGTGTCATGTTCTTTTTTTTTTTTTAGTGTATGTTTCTTCATTTCCTCATTTTGGCTGCCTCTTTCTTTGTTTCTGTGTATTGGGAAGATTTGCTATGTCTCCCAATCTTGGAGAGTGGCCTTATGTAGTAGTTGTCCTATGGGGCCCAAAGTGCAGACTCCCTGGTCACCTGAGCCAGGTGTTCCAGTGGTGTCTCTTGGGTGGGTTGTATGTGCCCCTCATGTTGTAGTTGGTCCTTGATTGCTGTTGGCACATCAGTAGGTAGGATTGATCCTCAGGATTACTGGCTGTGAGGACTGTCCATGACTATAGCAGACGAGCTATAGTGTAGAGGCTGACCCCACAGAGTGGGATTCAATTTAGTGGGGCTCTGTGCCTGCCACGTCCACCCTTTGAGTATGTTATTTGTGGAGCTAATTGTTGGTGCTCTGACATGGATGTATTGGTTCTGGGGCCTCTTGGGAGGAGCTCTGGTGCAGGCCCAGGTCTGCCAATACCTGTGCCCAGCCCAGGTTTACTTGGTAGTAGCTATTCAGTGACCTATGGTTGGTAGCTGCCTAGGCTGGACTCGGAGGTGCCTAAGAAAGGCTATGCTGCAAACTGAAGGCAGCTGCCGCTAGTGCCAGAGGCCTCTTAACAAGAAGTACAGGGCACACTGAGGCCAGTGGCTGCTTAATTGGGCTTTGTGGGCCTTTGAGAGGTTTTAGGAAAGTCTGCAGCATGGGCTGAGGCTGGTAGCTTGTGAAGAAAAGCTGCTGAAAGAGGTTCAGGCTGGTGCACAGGTTGGTCGGGCCAGGCAGGGTCTCTATCCTGCTGCTTTGGATGAGACCACCTAGTACAGATGCCTCCCATTTTTTCTGCTAGGTAACCTGTTTTCCCTCTGAACCTTTTATTTCTCTTTTATTTATGTAACATCAGTCTATGATATTTTTTCTGTAGGCAGAACTTTCCATATGGTTTCATATGTTTGCATTCATGTTCTTCTGAGCTTAGCTGACTACTCTTATATTCAAACAGGGTTTGATGTTTTCTATTAGTACCTTTATGACTTTACGTATTCATAGTACTTGATTTACTTCATTTTCTTTTTTATTTTATCTTTTACAATGCGCCCTTTTGAGAAGGGGTGGGGTAGATATGGGCAAGAGATGAGCTTTACTCTCACCTTAAACCTTTCATTCAGTTTAGTCTGGGCCCTTACATTAGCTGTATTCTCTCACAGTGTCTGTTTTTAACTGAAAAAGCTAATGGTATAGGAGAGCTATGCTGTGTACCGTTCTCCTAAAGCAGTTCATGAGGCCAAGGTTTGGTCTTTTTGTACTGAAAGCCAGATGAGCTGAGGAACCACGTCAGCCACGCCAGAACCCGCTGCACACTCGGAAAGAGCTCCCAGGAAGGCTCCCTTGTTTCCGGCCATGTCTTTGGAGCAAGGAGAGCAATATTTCCTATGATATTTCGTTTGGTTTAGAGGGGAACATGCAATTAGTTTTTTTTGTTTTTATATGATTTCATACCAACAAAATTTATAAAAATAGGACAGAGAATTTGCCATAGACCTTTTACCCAGATTTCCTTATATGTTAACATCTTATTATATTTGCTTTCTCTCCTCCATATACACACAAACAAATTTTTTTCTGAAGTATTTAAGAATAAATTACAGCTCTGGCCGGTTTTGCTCAGTGGTTTAGACTAAAGAGACCTGGGTTTAGTTCCCGCTAAGGGCACGTACCTCAGTTGCAGTTTGTCCCTGGCCCCGGTTGGAGTTGTATGGGTGGCAACAAGTCGATGTGTGTCTCTTACATCGCTGTTTCTCTCTCTTTCTCCCTCCCTTTTTTCCCTCCTGCTCTATCTGAAGATAAATGCAAAAATATCTTCGGGTAAGGATAAAAAAAAAGAAAAGAATGAACCACAGACATGGTGCCCCTTTGTTCCTAAATATTTCAAGGTGTATTTCCTAAAAAACAAGGCTCTTATATAAGCACAGTACAATTATCAAAATGGGTAACAACATTAAAAAATACTGCTTTCGCCCTGGCCGGTTTGGCTCAGTGGTTAGAGCGTCGGCCTGCGGTCCAGAGAGACCCGGGTTTGGTTCCCGCTAAGGGCATGTACTTCGGTTGCAGTTTGTCCCCGGCCCTGGTTGGTTGTGCAGGTGGCAACCACTCAATGTGTCCCTTTCACGGCGATGTTTCTCTCTCTCTCTCTCTCTCTCTCTCTCTCCTCTCTCTCCCTCCCACTCTATCTGTACAAAAAATGGAAAAATGTCCTCGGGTGAGGATAAAAAAAAAAAAATACTGCTTTCTAATCTATAGATTTATTCAGAGTTCATCATTTATCCCAGTAATGTCCTTTATAAGAAAAGGAAGTACAAATTCATGTATTTTCCATTCAGGCACCTTATCTCTTCAGCCACCGTTAACCTGGAATGATTCCTTTGTATTTTATGACAGGCCGGTTATTTTATAAAATTGCCCTCAGTTTGTGTTTGTCTGGTATTTCCTCAATATTAGATTTAGGTTTATACACTCTTGATAGGAATACCACAGAAGTGATGCCGAGTTCTTTTCAGTACATCATGCCAGGAGGCAGATGCTGTCAAGTCACGCTACTGGCAGGTGCCTGGGTTCTCCCACTGTAAGGTTGCTAGTCAGTGGCTTTTTTCTGTATGTCACAGATTTCCTATATGTGTGTATATCTTGATATATGTTACCAAGATGCAGATTTTCTTTTAATAAAAACTTTCTCTGAAAATCCATTGCTGTCCATCTTCCTAACCTCTGTGTTACTAGGCTACTTGCCATGTTCAAGTGCATCTCCCCTCCCTGCCCCAGGCATGCCAAAAGAACAGAGAGAAGGGCTCCAGGAAGAACTGATCGACATCATCCTCCTTGTCTTGGAGCGCAACCCTCAGCTGCACTACTACCAGGGCTACCATGACATTGTGGTCACATTTCTGCTGGTGGTAGGAGAGAAGCTGGCAACGTCCCTGGTAGAGAAATTATCTACCCACCACCTCAGGTATCAGCGCAGAGGGACATGAAGACTGGGCATCACTCCCCAAATCCCCTGGGGTAACTCCTCAGTCCATTTTCTAATCAGTGTTTTTAATAATTTGAACCTCATTCCACCTCCACCCTGATCTAATTGTTTGGTCTGATCATACTCATTGAATTGTCTTCCTCTAGGGATTTCATGGATCGAACAATGGACAACACCAAACATATATTAAACTATCTGATGCCCATCATTGACCAGGTGAATCCAGAACTCCATGACTTCATGCAGAGGTATATATGTGTCTACATTTGTGTGTACACACACATACACACACACCTTCAGCTTTCTACAGCCTTTATTTCTTCCTCACAAGTCTAGCTCATCATCATCTTATATTGATTATTGTTCAGTTCTGAGTTGTCCTTTCTAGTTAACCAGTGATCTGGATAATTCAGTTCTATACAGAGTCTTGGAGCACTTTTTGAGTGCTGTGCTCTTTTGGGGATACAAGAGATGTGACAGCCTGTGCCCTTGAGGAGTTTATACCTAGTAGGGGGAGGTGGACAAGGTAAGTATGCCAAGGTAGACTTTGAGGTTATTGCCACAAGAGAAGTACAGAGTCCTATAGGATCCAGAGGCAAGAAAGACAAAGCCATCTGTGGGTGGTGGTATTCTCCAAGTGCCAAGGAAAAGAAATACTTCTTTGCAAATCTCATACAATTTATGTTTCTCTTCTGCTTAGTTGGATATGTGTCCTTGGCCAATGCCTGACTTTTATATATATTTTTTTGATTGATTGATTGATTTTTAGAGAGCGAGAAGAAGAGAGAGGAACATGGATTTGTTGTTCCACTTATTTATGCATCCACTGGTTGGTTTTTATAGGTGTCCTGACCAGGGATCGAATCTGTAACCTTGGCATATCGGGATGACGCTCTAACCAACTGAGCTACCTGGTCAAGGCCCTCCCCCCCAAACAATAGCTATATCTTAAGATATTTCAGTCATCTCATGTTAACTAAAAAATTAATAGAGTTGCGTTTTCAAGCCTGAGAATATGTACTTGTGCTCCCCCCCCCCCCCCAAAGGTTATGACTTTCTCAGAAGGAAAACTGTGGTATAGTTTTCTGTAAATAGATACTTCTTCATCCTGTAGTAGACATTTGTTGGCCATTAGGAGAGCACCCAGTGAAATAAGACAACCAGGACCCTATTATAGTGTTAATGTCATGATAGTGGTACATTTTAAGGACTTTGTATTTTTGGAGGAGAAAATGCTAAATTCCTAGGTGGCTGGATTTTCTAGAAAGTGTATTTCCCAGATGCTTCCTTCTCACAGCACAGAAGACAAAGACGGCCCAGAAAATGGGAAGAGGTGATTCAACAGGGAACCTAACATTTGGATTTCCTTGCTCCTAGTGCTGAGGTGGGGACCATCTTTGCCCTCAGCTGGCTCATCACCTGGTTTGGGCATGTCCTGTCTGACTTCAGGCACGTGGTGCGGTTATATGACTTCTTCCTGGCCTGCCATCCCCTGATGCCCATTTACTTTGCAGCTGTGGTAGGTACAGGCCCTGAGCCAGCAGCTTGATCACACATTCTAGCTTGATCATTTCCCCTAAAGGGAAACTGGTGATTATGGAGAGATGTAAGAGACAGCATTTCCCAGGCTGGTGAGCCTGGGCAGCATTCTGGGCAGTGATAATGGGGAGTGTCATGGAAAAAAATAGTTCTGTGTAAAAGTAGGTTTGGGAAATGCCGGTTAAACAAAGATAAACAGATTTGTTTATTGTGTGATTCTTCTAAACCTTTAAAATGTTACACCTGCATTGTGAATTATTTGTTCTTGTTGACGTCTCCTGGAACAAGTACAAACTGCCAACTTCAGGTTTAAGAAAAGACAGGGTATGGTATTATAGAAAATTGAGATGGCTTGCAGGGTGTGGGGGTGCTTCAGTTACTAGAGGGCCTGAATCATCAGGGTAAGGGTTAAGGTGTGGACTCACAAGCACTCTTTATTGCTCTGTAAACATTTAAAAAATTATTTTTTCCTTTATTGATTTTAGAGAGAGAAGAAGTGAGAGGGAGAGAGACAAAGAAACATCAATGAGAGAGAACATCGACTGGCCACCTCCTGCATGCCCCCCACTGGGGATTTGGCCCACAACCTGGGCACGTGTCCTGACCAGGAATAGAACTGGCGACCTCTTGGTGCATGGGTGAATGCTCAACCAGTGAGCCGCACCAGCTGGACTCTTCATTGCTCTTTAAAGAGAGCAAGACCATTCTTTCTACTGTTATGAACCTTTTTTTTCTGTGCTGGAGCTCCAGGAATCTTCCAGTAATCCCTCTCCTCTTCTTCCTCCTAAGAGAATCTCCTTCATTTAATTGGTCTTTCACATCATAGGATAGAAGTTTGCCTCTAGCAAAAAGGGCCCGCCCAGTAGGAAAAGCACTCAGATATGTACATTATTGCTTCCTAGATGGATACAAGAGTTTGCCAAACATTTGGGTTGAGCCCTGTCTGTTACCAGTTTAAATAAGTCTCTAAGGAGAATGAAATGCATGTGGCCAAGGCCTTATGTGTTCTTTTCTCTGATACAAGGCCATGTTCTCCACAGATCGTCTTGTATCGAGAGCAGGAAGTCCTGGATTGTGACTGCGACATGGCCTCAGTTCACCACCTGTTGTCCCAGATCCCTCAGGACCTGCCCTATGAGACACTGATTAGTAGAGCCGGAGACCTCTTTGTTCAGTTTCCCCCATCTGAACTTGCTCGGGAAGCAGCTGCCCAACAGCAAGCCCAGAAGTGAGTGAGGCCAAGCCACTCGTTGAGTCGGGGAGAGGGGGGTGTTTGTTAGTGAGCAGAAGTGATGGAAGATGGTGTCTGGTCAAGACAGGGCTGGGGGTATGTTTTCAGAGATCTAAGCTTATGCCAGCAGAATCCCTACTTTAGTCTTGATGGGTCTTTATCAAGAAGAATTTTCTGAGCACTGCATGGCTCTGCCCTCAGCCTGTTTAATCTTGTTTCTTTGATAGTATTTTCTTCTTTCTGTCTACTCCTCTGCAGAACGGCAGCCTCTACCTTCAAAGACTTTGAGCTGGCATCAGCCCAGCAGAGGCCTGACATGGTGCTGCGGCAGCGGTTTCAGGGACTTCTGCGGACTGAGGATCGAACAAAAGACGTCCTAACCAAACCAAGGACCAACCGCTTTGTGAAGCTAGCGGTGATGGGGCTGACAGTGGCACTTGGAGCAGCTGCTCTGGCTGTGGTGAAAAGTGCCCTGGAGTGGGCCCCTAAGTTTCAACTGCAACTGTTCCCCTAAATGCCAGAGAACATTCTTGCTCTGACATTACTTTAAGGTCATGCCCTTCCGTGGAAGGATGGGGAAGGGTGGAATGTCCTTTATTAAAAGGGTTTCTGTCAAGGGTTTTCTATTCCTACCACCCCTCTCTGCCTGTCCATGGTTTGTTTGCCTTTGCCTCGGAGGCCAGTAGCAGAGCCTGTCTAAAACTGGGCACTTGGGACCTGGGCATAGAACTCTCTCCCTCACGGTGGGCTTCTGAGTGTGTTTTCCACTACCTCCTCTTGTTTTGGGGGAAGTGGATTTTTTTAGCTCCCAGCTGCCTTTGGAACCCACTGGGCCTGGTCACTGGGGGACTCTTTTCAGCTGCCGAGTAGTAAGCTAGACCACTGAAAACTTTCCTCACAGCTCCTTCTGTTCTGCCTGCTTGGGCCAGAAGAAGTCTGATGGTGGGTGAAGACGAGGGGGCAGAGAAGGCTAGCCCAGGAACAAGATTGGCCCTTCTTGAGAGCAGCTCTATTAGCTGGTCAGAAATCAAAGAGACAAGTGGGAACTAAGTTACTGGGTAGCTCCTACCGATTTTCAGCCTAGAAATCACAGGTATTTCAGCCAAACAGGAAGGAATGTTAAGTTTTAGGGCCCAGACATAGACTGGTTTTGCCTGCCTTTTTTTCTTTAAATCCTCACTTGAGGATATGTTCATTGATTCTAGGGAGAGAGGAAGGAAAGAGAGAGAAACATTGATGTGAGAGAAATATTGATCAGTTACCTCCCTCATGCACCCTGACCTGGGATCGAACCCGCAACCCCTTTGGTGCACGGGATGATGCTCCAACCAACTGAGCCACCCGATGGGGCTTGCCTACCTTTGTTTTGCTACCTATTCCCTTCCATAAGTCACTTGAAGTTGCTTTAAAAAGACACTTTTTACTATTTTTAGAATTACACAACACTCAAACTTTAAAAATAATAGTTCCTTCATGGAAAAAATAGTTCTCATCAGAAGGATGAGCTTCAAAAACCCTGAAGTTTCCCTTTTACTCGGTTGTTTAACATTTCACATTAGCCAGAGTTGCTGTTTGTAAACAGCCCCAAGCTCCAAAGTGCCCTTTGTGTCTACTTTCCTGTTTTCCTCAGATCACCTGTCTGTGCCCACTCACCACCTTGGCTTTGCTTTGGGTTTGATGTATCTCCTGCTGGTCTCTTCCTGGTGGAAATGTCCGTGGAAACAGTCAGCACTGGAAAGGGACACGCTGCAGCCTGAGGAACGACAGAAGCCTGGAGCAGGCAGCCCCTACCCCCAGCTGCTGCGGACTCCCCAGGCCTTGGGACAGCTTTTCCTGTAAGCGGAGCCAGGTTTGTTTCAGACGAACCGTGGCTTGAAAAAAAGTGCCTTTTGCTTCTTCAGCAAATCGGGTGTATAGTATGAAGCAGCCATGTACTTTTATTTTCCTGGTCTCTCCAGCACTGTTCTGTCTTCGCAAATGTTCTAATGTGAACATGCCAGAGCACTCTACCTACTATACCCAGACCTCCACACCTTCCCTGTGCCCACTGCAGACTGGAGGGCACGTAGCATGCCAGGCAGCTGGCAAACCCAGAGAGGTTAGGAGAGGCTTCTACACTAAGTTACACTCAGCACTTTAAAACCAAAAAAAGCTCAGTGATGGGTCATTATAGCAGGAGCCCCACCTGGGGTGAGTGTGATGTGGCTGGATTAATCCAGAAAGTGGAAGATACGTCACGACAAAGGAAATTCTTTCAGCATCCAGAGATGATGTGACAGACACTCCCAGCCTTCTCCCTCAGCACGTTTGTCCTCGTCGCGACCAGTGGACAGCAGCATCGCCTCCTGCCATGAGCACTCGAGCCTGTCTGAGTACTGAAGGGACGACGGGAGAGGAATGCGGGTGCACTTGATCAGGGTCCCCAGGCCACACCTTTTGGGAACCCAGGAAGCAAGTGGTGCTTGCTTCTGTTGTGGCCTAAGAAGGAGCAACTTTATTTGTTTTATAGCTTTGCTGACATCTCACCCTGTCGATGAGAAGAACCGGTATCTTTTTACCTTCGGGTGGTTTACTATTCTGTAAAGAATATGTGTAAATATTTTGTACAGAGCCCTGTATGAAATACACAGCCATATGTGGTTACTAATCTCCTCTTCTGTCATTCTCTGTTGTCCACCACTTGTTGGGAGTGGACTCTGGTCTTAGACAAATGACCTTATGCTTCCACCCCAGCCTGGGACTGCTGTGGGCTGTGGACTCCCGGTCAGCCTCGACTTGCCTGGAGCGCTGGGACAATACCTGCAGCCCCGTTTCTGTTTGGCTGCAATGAGTGTGACCCACACACCCCAGCTGCAGCCAGGGGCCACACGCGGTGTGGGATATTAGTCTGGGTCGATCGTGACTTTTTCATACTCTATTCTGGGGAAGCCCTTGTTTCCAAAGACCGACATTCGGGTTTAGAACCTAACCAGAGCTAATGTGCACATAACTTTGCCTCCACGTGTAATTTCTGTCCCAAAGGAGCTGTGAGATTTTTTTCTTGCCAGGCTTTCTCAACATCATCCTAACACTCCCCGCTGTGGGGTGGTGGGAGCCCAGGGCAGTGCCAGGTGCCTGTTGCCTCCACCCCGATGGGCCGATCACGGAGGCAAGAATCCGTGTCGTCTGGGATGTTTATTATTGTTCCCCTGGCCCAGAGTGGGGAGGGGAGGGCACCCAAGGCTGACTCGTCCATGACTCTGAGAACACAGGGCTGGCCAGCACACTGCCCTGCCTCGGAGCTCACACCAGAATTGCACTGAAGGAACAATTTGAGTAGCAGATTCACTGGCGATTTCCTAGGAGTTGATGAGTGTAGACTTTTTTTTTTGGTACATGCCCCTAGCAGGAACCGAACCTGGGACTCTCTGATCTGCAGGCCGATGCTCCAATGCTGAGCCAAACTGGCCAGGGCAAGAGTAGACTTTTTAAAATTGGAATACTGAAGGAAGGTTATTTGTGGTGTAGGAAATATTCGTGGGTTTTGTCCCCCACTTGGAATTTCTTGAGAGTATCTTTTTGTTCTTCATAATGATTCCCTTTTATCCCACCTGAGTTTATGCTCATGAGGTGACTTACAGTGGGACCCCTACATAGCCTCAGAATGGGGCAGGTCCCCAGAAAGGCCAAGAGAGTAGAGAGTGGGAACGTTTGGCCCCATCCCCTGACAGGAGGAGAGGGAAGGCTGGAGATGGAACTCTACAAACTCTTGATTCAGGGATTCTGAGAGCTTCTGGGTTGGTGAACACAGCAAAATGCGGGGAGGGTGGTACACCCAGAGAGGGCTTGGGAGGTCTGCACCTTCTCCCGATTCCTTGTTGATTTCTTACATTTCTGAGTTATATCCTTTATGGAAAAAAAAAAAAAATCAGTAAACGTGTTTTCCTGAATTCTGTGAGCCCTGCTAGCAAATTATTGTTTTGGGGGGGGGGTTGTAGAAACCCCTGAATTGGCCCTGGCCGGTCTGGCTCAGTGGTTAGAGTGTCGGTCTGCGGTTCAGAGAGACCCAGGTTTGGTTCCCGCTAAGGGCATGTGCCTCGGTTGCAGTTTGTCCCGGGCCCTGGCTGGGGTCGTGTGGGCGGCAACCACTCGATGTGTCTCTCTCAGGTCAATGTTACTCTCTCCTTCCCTCTCTCCCTCCTGCACTGTCTGAAAATGAATGCAAAGAATCTTCTCTGGTGAGGATAAAAAAAAACAAAAAAAAACCCTGAATTGGAAGTTGACCAGATAGAAACGTGGGTTAGCCTGGGAACTCTGTTTGCAGCTGGCATCCTTAATCAAGCAGTCTTGTGGGGCTGAGCTCTTTAACTCGTGGGATCTGATGTTAACTCCAGATAGTGTCCGAATTGAATTGTTGGACACCCAGTTGGTGCTGGAGAATTGGGGTGGCAGTGTCAGGAAATACCACACAATATGCGAGGGTGAGGGGAAAGTAGTGTAAAAATAACAGCTGAATAAAAAGTGTGGGTGGTCCGGCCAGTGTGGCTCAGTGGTTGAGCATCAACCCATGCACCAAGAGGTCGTCAGTTCTATTCCTGGCCAGGACACATGCCCAGGTTATGGGCCGGATCCCCAGTGGGGGGCATGCAGGAGGCGGCCAATTGATGTTCTCTCTCATTGATGTTTCTATCTCTCTCTCCCTTTCACTTCCTCTCTCTCTCAAATCAATAAAGGAAAAAAATATATAACATCAATTTAAAATAAAGTGTGGGTGTCCTGTAGATAGCAAAGCCCAAGAGTTTGGGGTCTGGAGATAGAGAACAGTGTCAGTGGAAAGTACTTAGGGTTCAGATCAGGGACAGCTCTGAGCACAGGAGGGGAGTGGGACTCTAGGCAATTTGGGGGTGAGGCTGGGCCATGACCAAAACTTGGCCTCATGGCAAGTGTGTTACTTATTGGCAGTTTCTGCAAGTTCAATGTCTCTGAGATTCATTGTCAGTAACAGTAAGATAGGGGCAGTCCCATCTCACACGGATGGTTTAATGAAATGATGTTGGGAAAAATGCTTTACAAACTATGAGGTCATGCAAGTGTTTTGATTCCATTTGGTGAACACTTACTAATCAGTAAATGCGTTTAGCCAGCCCTGTACTTGTGCCCTATGCTCGTCCAGAGATTAAGTGGTGACTGGAAGGAATAGGCCAAAGGCTTTTGCAAATCCAACCAAAAGATGATGGGGTCTGAGTTTTGGCCTGACCTCATCTTCTTCCCCTGCTCTGCTGTCTCCTTCATGTTTTCTGCTATGCTCCTGCTGCCGTGTCTCCCGTCTTCACAAAGACCCTCTACTTGCTAGCAGTATTTTTCCCAGACTTACATATGGTTGAAATTTGCCCCAAAGCCTTTGTGAGCCAGCAAGGCTGTGGGCCTGCCTCCAGCTTCCTGCTTTTGAGTGGCTTTCATGGCAGCTCAGACTAGAGGAAGACGAGGTAGCTCTGGCGTGGGCTGTGGGGCCCACCCTCCACTTCCTGCCCACGCCGGCAGCAGCTGCTCTCTATCTGAACAGTGGGCTTCCACTCGCCTTTTCCTGCTCTGAGAGACAAAGATTATGTTACACAAGTACATTTGGGATCTGCTGCTGCTTCCTCGGGTAAGTGGTTTGAGTCCAGAGCTCATGTGATTTGGTTTCAAGTCTGCTCTGGCCAGTTGGTGATGGGTTCTCAAGGTCGAGGGGCCCCAGCCTGAAGTGACCCATTGGGAGAGCACTTGTGAACCTGCCTATCTTTTTTTTTTATTATTATTATTTTTTAATCCTCAACCAAGGACATTTTTCCATTTTTTGTTCAGGTAGAGTGGGAGGGAGAGAGAGGAACAGAGAGAGAGAGAAACATCGATGTGAAAGGAACACATCGAGTGGCTGCCACCCACACAACTGACCAGGGCCGGGGACAAACTGCAACCGAGGCACATGCCCTTAGCGGGAACCGAACCCGGGTCTCTCAGGACCGCAGGCCGACGCTCTAACCGCTGAGCCAAACCGGCCAGGGCTAACCTGCCTATCTTTGATCCTTCGCTGTAGGCTAGAACCCTGGGGATGCCCCACCCCTCCATTTTGGCGGCAGCAGAATCGAACTCCCTGTGCGTGTTGGCATGGATGGAGTGGGCTGGGTGAGAGACGCAGCCAACCAAGTCCCTTCTGCCTGTCTTGTCCGCTCCTCATTCTGATGCAGCCATAAGTAAAGAAATACTTCCATGATACTTCTCTTAATGAGAATGGTGCAAGGGCATTGCAAAGACCTCCGCGTTATCAGTTTGCATCCTCTGAACCAAGAGAATGATCTCTGCTTTTGTTGTTGTTAATCCTCACCCAAGGATATTTTTCCCACTGGTTTTTAGAGAGTGGAAGGGAGGGAAGAGAAACATCAATGTGAGAGACACAGACACATTGCCTCCCACACTGCACCCCGGCCAGAGCTGGGGATGGAACCTGCAACCCAAGGATGTGCCCTTGACCGAAAATTGAATCCACAACCCTTTGGTCTGAGGGCCAACACTCTAACCACTGAGCTACACTGGCCAAGGCTGTGCTCTTCTCTTGTGCCCAGGCCCCTGAGGGATGCCAAGATGGGCCCTAGCAGGAGAGGAAGAGGGAGGAGCCGGTAAGAGAAAACGCTCTGCCCTGGTCTGGGCCCCATCTCTCTTGCAGTCCAGTTCCCCACTGCTGCTGTGTCGTCCGGGTCAGTGGCTCTGCCTGACCGTCTCGCTCCCAGAGTGGGAGGCTGCCTGAGCCATGTCCTTCGGCCAGAATAGCTGCTGTGAGCCAGCGCTGGCAGAGCAGGGAGGCACTCATGTTCTCTGATGGCCTGCCCAGTGCCTGTGGTCAACTCTTTCTAGTCTTGGCATCCAAGGGCAGGGTGGCAGTGCATCTCCGGGGGCTAGAATGAGCTCATCCCCCAAAACCACATGCCCCAGCTTCTGGAGCCTGGAGTCCAGACCCTGAACAGCAGACACGCTCCGCATGTTGTAATGATGAGCCACCGCACGGCTCAGACATGTTGGCCATTAAATACCAGACTTCACCACAGGAAGTGGGTAGGTCTGAGAGTAGTAAAAACTTGCAGACTGGACACCTAGAACTATTTTATTAATCCCTGACCAACACAAAAAGGTGACTAATAAATGTTGCCAGACCAATACTGTGACATCTTGCTTATTAAAATTAGGCCGGACAACCTCACCCCTCAATTGCAACAGCTTCACCTGATCCTGAAATGTTTGTTCTCCAACCTTGGACGCCCACTGAGTGGCAGAGGGAGCAGCAAGCTTTCCTGCCAGCCTGTACCTGCTGCCTTGGCCCCTCCCTGCCCCTCACGTCTGCACAGATCTGCAGACGCTGCTTTGTGGACTCAACACACTGCAAACTCCACCTGTGCAGGCGAATGTTGACCCAAGAGCATCCTGCATCCTCAAGCTGGGCCTGGGTGCCAAGTGGCTCATATATACACTTCCTGCTGCAGTTCCTAGAGAGCTTGGGATCCCACCTGTGTGCAGAATCCCAGCCCATGTCCCTTACTCCTTCTCACAGACACCACACTCATCCCTGCCTGGAAAACCATTTTAATTAGCTTATGCCAGCAGCAAAGAGGAAGACGTGGAAGCTGGACCAGATGGGCTGTGCTTTAGAAACTGCCAGGTTTCTCTCTTGGCTCTGAACAGGATTAGCAGCAGTTCTAAGAGGCCCCAGGCCTCCAACAGCAAAGCCAGAGAGAAGTCAGCCCCAGAAAGCCAATAGCACAGTGGTTCTCAACCTTCCTAATGCCGTGACCCTTTAATACAGTTCCTCATGTTGTAGTGACCCACAACCATAAAATTATTTTCGTTGCTACTTCATAACTGTAATTTTGCTACTGTTATGAATTGCCATCAGAAATACGTGTTTTTCGATGGTCTTAGGTGACCCCTGTGAAAGGGTCGTTCAACCCCCAAAGGGGTCGCGACCCACAGGTTGAGAGCCGCTGCAATAGGGGAAGTAGCAGGCTGTGAGCGCTCAGTGTCCAGAAGACGAGGGTGATGGATGCGGGGTGGGGGTGTGTGGACTCCCACGGGCTTTCAGAGGCTCTATCCAGCAAGGCTTCTGGTCAGGGCTGTGTTTACGGCTGGGTCAAGCAGAGGTGGGGGGTCTGGCCAGCAAGCCCTAGGGGAAGGGCAAAGGCACTGGGGCAGAGGCAGCTATGGACAACAGCCAGCTCTGGCGGGGCCCTTGTTAACACCCACAGCAAACAGCTGTCCGTGCAGCTCAGCGGCCTCAGCCTCTGCTGGGTCGCTGTCTCAGGTAAGTTCAAAGGCATCTCCCAGGCCAGAAATAGAGCCGAAGCACCTGCCCTGTCCCACAGCAACCTGTGGGTGGGGCTGGGTCAGGGTGGGGACTGGGCCATCTTCAGCTCAGTGGCAGTTCTGACAGCTGGGGTGGCAAGGAACCCCATTCACCCGGCAGCGGCAGCCCCCACTGGTGTCTCCAGGGCCCTAGAGAATGGGAAGAGAGGGTCAGGGCAGGGAAGACTGTGTCCCCCGTGCCATTTCATCACACCCAAAACAGTGCACACTCCACTCCAGGGCTTTGCTTTGGCAGGTCCCCCGGCTTCTAAGCCGGCCTCAGCCTCAGCGACCCGAAGGAGGCCGTCATGCAGGCCTTTCTGGGCACCCCAATTGCATGGCCTCCATGTGCCCATCCCAAGGCCCAGAACAGGGAAAGAAGCTGATGGCTCTCTGTACATTCTGGAAGGGTCAGCACACTGGCAGCTACAACAGGGCCACTCCCTCTGCCTCCGCCTGTCTCAATGCCTGTCTGTGTGTAACAACAGTGATCCCCCAATTCCAGGAACACACCTCTAATATGACAGCTACCACATAGGACGTGCTCGCAATATGACGGGCACCCTGCTAAGCACTTTTCTTACACTTTTTCATTTGATTCTGACAATAAGCCTGAATGAGGTAGGCCCAGATGAAGAAACAGGCTCAGAGAAGGCAGTAGCAGCCTAAACCACACAGCCAGTGTGTCCCAGAGCCAAGGACCCACGCCACCTGACTCCAGACTGAACCCTTCACTGCTGTCCTCTAGGGCTAGGGTTGCAGCCTCTCTGCAAAGGGCCAGACAATTCTTTCCGGCTTTGCAGGCCAGCTAGTCTCTGCCTTCGTAGCACAAAAGGAGACACAGAACACATGTAAAGGAAAGAGCATGGCTGTGCTCCCCTAAAACTTCACTTACAGGCACTAAAATTCAGATTTCACATCACAAAATATTCTTTTGATTTTTTTTTTTTTGGTATGTGCCCTAGTGGGAACCGAACGGGACTCTCTGGTCCACAGGCCAACGTTCCAACCGCTGAGCCAAACCAGCCAGGGCTCTTTTGATATTTTTTAACCATTTAAAAAATGCAAAAAATGTTCATTCTTCACAAGCTATAAAAATCCAGGCAGGGGGTTAGATTGGGCCTGTGGGCTGTAGTTTTCCAATCCCCACTCCTGGACAAGGCCCGTGGGAGCCCCCTCCCCACCCCTCTCCCGAGCCTCCGCTCCCTAAGGACTCACCCCCGGGCCCCAGCGAGGGCCCTTGGTGACCCAGCAGATCTCGGTGTGGCAGACAGTGCAGCGGATCCAGTCACAACCATCCTTCTTCTGCACCACGATCTGGCACTGTGGGCAGTGCATGGCCTCGCCCTGCTGCAGCATGGACTGGAGCAGAGCAGGGGTTGACGCTGGAGCCAGGCGAGACAGCTGCCCAGCCACGCCCCCGCCCCCCACCCGCCCCGTTACAAAGGAAAACTGGCGACTCCGCTGGAGTTGTGGAATTGCTCTCCGATGCTCCTTGTTTCTGCAGTCTCCTCCCTCCACCCGGACACTGTCCTGCTGCTGGCCACCTGAGCACTTATCCCAAGTCCCAGATCTGGATGAGAGTGGTGCCGGCAGCGAGTTCGGAGCCTCCAGGGCCCCAGGAACTACAGCCCTTTCTGAGAAGCTCCCATCCCCCTACTAGCTCCCAGAACGCCAATCCCCAGGCCCCCAGCCCTGTCCCAGCCTCACCTTCAGCATCTCTGTCGTCTGCCGGGCGGCCACATCGTTCTGAGCCCGCAGGGCCAAGTCATCCTGGTACTCCTTACAGTTCATCTGCTCGTGGATGGCCTGCAGTAAGGGAGGGGCTTGAGGTGAGACGGTTCCCCAGTTAGGAATCGGGGAGAGGTGGGGGTCAGAGCAGCCATCCACACAAGCACGTAATGTTTCCAAGCATCACTGGCCAGGTCTCACTTTGTAAACCATACACCTGTCTTACAGAAGACACTGAGGCCAGGGAGGAGAAGCCAGGGTCAGCATGTGTGATGACGATAATTTGTATCTATTTATTTTAAGTCCTGATGGACACAGAAACCCCTAAGCCACCTCTCCCGCAGGCTGTGGCCCCCGTGCCTACTTAGGTTCAGCCCCTGCAGGCCAGTACTCTGAGACAGCCTTCTTAGGATGCCTAGGCTCGGACCTGTCTACGCGTCACCCATCTTAACGATCAACTGTTGAGATGACGGGAGCAGGTCTGGGTTTGGGGATCAAAACTGAGTGTAGGGCAGGGATTGGGGCTCATTGTGGGGTCAAGGTTCAGTCCAGGGCCAGGGCTCAGTCTAGGATGAGGCTCTGTCTGGGACAAAACTTGGGGTCGGGGTTCAGTCCGGGGTCAGGGCTTGGTCCAAGGCTTAGGCTCAGTTTGGGGCCCAGGCCAGGTCCCATAGGTGACATGAAGTTCTAAGTCAGGACAACCAGGCCCTTTGCAGAGCAAGCACTGAACTGCAGAGAGCTCCTCGCAGGACGAGGGTGACTAGGCAGTGTGGGTCCCCAGACCCACCTTGCAGAGCAGGCAGTTGACGCGGGAACACACGGGGCAGGTGAACTCATTGACGTCATCCTCAAAGAAGCACCACCCCTTGCAGTCCGGGGTCTTGCAGTGGTAGCTGAAGGCACTGCGGTTCTCAGCGATGGAGACACCCAGGTCCAGAAACCGCTGGTAATCCTCGGGGGTCAGCAGCTGCCAACAGAATACTGGACATGTGGCCTTCCTTGCCACCAAATATGCTCCTGGAAGTCCCCAATCCATAAACTCCAACCCAGCCCTAGGCTCTTTTCTTCACATCATTATTTATTTTATTTTATTTTTTTAGATCCTTACCCGAGAATATTTTTCTGTTTATCATCAGACAAAGTGGGGAGGAGAGGGAGGGAGGGAAAAGAGAAAGAGAGAGAGAGAAATATTTGATGTGAGAGAGACACATCGACTGGTTGCCTCCCCCATGACCCAATCAGGTACGTGCCCTTGACCAGAATCGAACCCGTGACTCATTGGTCCGAGGGCCGACGCTCAGCAGTTATAGCCAAACCGGCTGGGGCTTCACATCAGTATTTAAAAACTCCATTCAGCCCTGGCCTGTTTGGCTCAGCGGTTGGAGTGTCGGCCTGTGGACCAGAGAGTCTAGAGTTCAGTTCCTGCTAAGGGTACGTACCAAAAAAAAAAAAAAAGTGGATTAAGCCTAGCCAGTGTGGCCCAGTGGATTGAACGTCATCCCCATACACTGAGAGGTCTCAGTTCGATTACTGGTCAGGGCACACGCCTGGGTTGCGGGCTCGATCCCCAGTAAGGGGCGTGCAGGAGGCAGCCAATCAATGTTTCTCTCACATGGATGTTTCTTTCTCCCTCCGCCTCTCTCTAAAAAAATCAATAAAAACATATTTTTATTTAAACTGAATTAAAGTTCTGGAGATGGATGGTGATAATGGCTGCACAACAATATAAATATACTTTTACTACCACAGAACGTACACTTAAAAATGGTTAAAATGGGCCCTGGCCAGTTTGGCTCAGCAGTTGGAGCATCGGCCCACAGATCAGAGACCCGGATTTGATTCCCGCGAAAGGCACGTGCCTCGGTTGTAGTTTGTCCCTGGCCCCGACTGTCGTGTGGGTGGCAACCTGTCAATGTGTCTCTCTCACATCAATGTTTCTCTCTTTCTTCCCCCCTTCTCCCTCCCACTCTATCTGAAGATAAATGCAAAAATGTCCTCAAGTGAGGATTAAAAAAAAAAAGTTAAAATGGTAAATTATATATATATGTGTGTGTGTGTGTGTGTGTATATATATATATATTTAACACAATAAAAAAAATGTTTAATTAAAAGAAAAAAGATAAAAGACAAAGAATGGACAAAAATAATAACAAACAATGCTGGGGAATATGTGGTTAAACTAGTATCCTGGTACATTTCACTTTGAGAAAACAATGTAGCAATAGTGTTTCAACCATCTCAAACTTCTCTGATCCTTTGGGACTCACTCTACTTCTACAAGTTTATCCTAAGAAAACAATATTAAGAAAAAAGAGACACCACGGAAAATGTTCCTTGAAGCATTACTTACAAACTGAGACACTGGAATTATTAAGAGAAGAGGTATAAACAGAACATATGCCATAGAGATTTATAATAATCTTTAGAAAGATTTTATAGCAAGATAGCAAAAGCCGCTGTATCTATGCTGGTTACAATGAGATAAAAATTATGCCTACATTCTGTATCTTGGGGGGGGGGGGGTTACAAGATAACATTTGTCAAAATTCACCCAACTGCACATTTTCAATAGGTGTATTTTATTGTGTGCAAGGTGTACCTTAATAAAGTTAATTTAAAAAGGAACAATATCATGTGTGCCCAGAGACACCAAAGTTAACAGGAGAAAAATGCAATCGGGGATCTCCTGGGATAGTGGGGTCATGGGTGATTTTTCTCTTTCACTTCTGTTCTGGTTCTACGTGGTTTAGGCATGTTTTTCGTAGTTGTTTGTAAAAACAGCCTGCACTGCCTTACTCTGCTGATCCCTGTCTCTTTTACTCTCTGCCACACTTGACCATTCTTAGGTCATTCTGAGCACTGCGTCAATTCTCAGAGGCTCCAGGCAAGCATGAGCCCCGTAGTCCCTTGGCATGGGTGACTGCACAGGGGACACCTCTGGGCAATGACTATGGGTGCCAGGTCATCTGGACTGACTCTCCAGGCCACGAAGAGGAGGCCTCAGCAACCTGGAGCTGCCCGTCTCAGATGCCCCACAGACGAGATAAAGGGGGCTGCTCTTGGAATAAAGGGGGGGAGTTCCCAAGTTCTACCCCTCTGTCTGCCCTTTTTCTCTGGAGGCAGAACTCCTGGGGCTCCAGAAAACGCTTGGTAAAGTCAAGTGGGTTCTCGGAAGCAGGGTCACAGGAGAGAGGCAGGAGCGATGGGGAGAAGCAGGGGTCTTGTGTACGTGCCTGTGGGGCCTCCCATTTGGGACTCAGCCACCTTTGGCCATGCTCATGCTTTTACCTGGGAATCCCAAGATGCAATTCCCCAGCAGTTTAAAAACCATAAATCAAACCCAGCAGTCCACTTTACAGATGGCGAAATAGAGGCCCAGAGAAAGGAGAGGACCTGCTCAAGACCACCAGCAGTCAGGGAGAGAAGTTGACAGCAATACCACTAATAACAATAGCAAACACACACACAGATGCAGACATATGTATCACTATGACAGACTGCTGGAGGAATGGCCCCAATTCATTCATGTCTCCCTGACTCGTGCTCGTGGGTGGTCCCCTTCTGCAGAACCTGGGTTTGAGTATGTGACTCGCTTTAGCCAGTGGAACAGCAGCAAGTGTAAGAGGAACAGACTTGGAAAACACTCCTGCACTGGAGCCCCCCTCTGGCTGCTCTTGGAATTCTGAGATCACTGCCACGCGAGCAGCCTGGCCAGCCTGCTGGTAGACGGGAGACCAAAGTGGAAAGAGGCCCAGTCACCCCAGGCATCGCAGATGAGACGATCGTAAGCCAGTCCAGAACAGTTGACCCACCAACTAAGCCAGAGGAGCTCAGCCAGGCCCAGCCTGGACCAGAAGAATCGTCCAGATAAGCCCAACCAAAATGACTAACTTGCAGATTCATGAGCTAAATAAATGGTGCTTATTTTAAGGCACTAAGTCTGGATGGCCTGTTATACAGCAAAAGCTAACTGAAAAGGGCTTGCCACATGTCAAGCACTACTCTCAACTCTTTACATGTATCCTCCACTATAATCTTCACAACCCTTGAAATAGAACCTAACTCTAACTTGGACCTTCACCAGGATGAGAAGACAGGCACAGAGAGGCTGAGTATCTGGAGGTCACCAGGCCCACTCTTAACTGCTTGTCTGTCTTCCCTTCATAAGGGTGGTTTTTTGACTAGCTACCTTCCCCGATTCCTGCCTGTTCACCGCTTGGGCCCCCAGCATCCCACACAGAGAAGGCTCTTGATAAATGTTTGCTGCCTGAGACTGGCACCCTGAGCCAGTTCCCACCTGCCAGCTCAGGGCCCAGCTCCGCGAGATGAGGTGTGCCCGCCCCACCCCCAGGCCTTACCGCCCGGATCTCCCTCTCCAGCAGCTTGCCCGAGCACGAGTAGGTGTTGTCAATGAAGGGGCAGGCCACCTCTGCCTCCTGGCTGTTTCGGATGGTGCCCTGCAGGCACTCCCTGGGGGAGGAATGGAGTGGAGGTGAGGGTCATCTGAACCCCGTCCACCCACCAGAACTCCACCCTCACATGGTGAAGCCTGGCCCCCGGTGGGCTTCTCCTCAATACATCCCTTCCTTCCCACCAACCCATTACCATGGCAACTCCTGCCCACCCCACTGTTCTGGCCCAGGACTCCATCACCACTCACTTGGAAGACTGCCGTGGCCACCTCCTGAGTTCCCTGTGTCCACCACATCCCTCCCCAGTGGCTCCCATCGCATCTGCCAGAACCCTTAACTGTGCTCGTAAGAGCTCCCATGACTCGCCCTCCCTAATACTTCTGTCCATCCCTCTGCTCCACCCGCACGGACCCCTTGTTCCTGCAGACAGGCCAGGCCCGTACCCACGCCAGTACTACCTCCAGGGCTTCCCTGACCCCCGCTGGCGCAGGGCCCTGTTCTTTTAACACAACCCACTGGTACTTGGCATCTGTCACAATTTACAATATATCAGTGATTATTTGATGAATAATTGACCTCCCCATTGGAATATGAACTCCAAAAGGCGGTAACTGAACTTTTTGATCCGTCCTGGGTCTCTAGGCCTAGCACAGTCCCTGGCACCCAAGGCTGCTCACCAAATGTCAGGATGTGTTCTCCACAGCCCAGGATGGATGGGCCAGGAGAGCCCTGGAGGGGGGAGCCTGACCTCCAGCCAGGTACAGGGGAGGGGCTCAGGTGGCCAAGGCTAGGGCCTCATGCCCCCGCACGGGCTTGGATCAGGAGTGAGGGGCAAAGGCTCTGGAACCAGAATGCCTGAGCTGGGTGGCCTTGGGCGAGTAGTTGGCCATTCTGTACCTCACATTCCTCCCCTGTAAAACAGGGACAGCGTCTACCTGCCAGGTTTAGGTGGGTGTCCAATGACCCACCCCTTTCTGCCGGGTAATGGGCGGGAACCCCCGCTGCCTTGCCGGGGTGGGGGCGCACCTGCAGAAGGCATGCAGACACTCCCGCAGCACCACGGCCTCGCCTGGCGCCAGCAGCGAGTAGCACACGGGGCACTCGGTGGGCTCACAGTTCAGCACCAGGCTCCTCTGGTCCAGCTGGACGTGCTGCAGGTAGTTCCCCTCCTGCTGCTGCTGCTTCCGCTGAGCACATGGGGCGGGGCCAGGGTCACAGGGGCGGGTCAGACCAGGAAGGGGGCAGGACCAGGGGTCGTGGTCAGATCCCGGAAAGGGGAGGCTGGCAGAGTCAGGATTCCCAGGTAGGCGTAGGGGTGGCTGGGTGGCTGGGCAGCGGGCACGAAGAGAGCTGCTGGGAAGGGTGAAGCCCAGAGCAGGGCCAGGCGGGGTAGCCAGGGGCAGGTGGAGGGCCAGGCGGGGGCAAGCTGGGGCTGCAGTCAGGGGTCAGGCCAGGCGAGGGAGCGATGGCAGAAGGGAACGGAGGGGGCCAGGGTCTGAGGAGGCAATCAGAGGTGACAAGGCTCACATTTCTGCGAAGCTGGGTAGGCAGGGCCAGGGGATGGAGGTGGAGCCAGGTCAGGGTCACAGAGTAGGTCAGGGGTATGGGAAGGGTATGTGATGTTAGGAGCAGAGCAATGAGGGGGAGAGGGTGGATTGGGCCAAGGTTGTCGATGGGACCAGGAGTGAGATCATGGCTGGGGTGGGTAAGGGCAGGGACACAGGTGGAAGATGGGGGCATGTGATCAGAATGATGAAACACTCAGTCAGGTATCCGTGTAATCAGTGCTTAGATCAGGTCTAGGAGAGGGGCAGGCCAGAAGGTGAGGTCAACCTGCCAGGGAGCAGTGCGGGCTAGGTCCTGAGGTCATAGGAAGCCAGAAAGGCAGGGCAGACAAGGATAGTAGGGCCCAAGGTGAGGTCACGGCTGAGTGAGGCAGAGCTAGATCACAGGTGAACCAGCAGGTGGCAGGTGGGGTGTGGTCAGGGTCTCAGCCAGCGTGTTGTGAGCCTGGATGGGCGTCACAGGCAAGGAGCAGGGTCTCAGCCACAGGATGACCTCCAGGAGAGGGAAGGTCACAGTCAAGTGCAGGGGTCACTGCCTGCGGTGTGTTCATGAGGGGACACCTGGGGAGGAGCCGCGGTGTGGAGAAGCCTCCCTTCCTGGCCTCCGCCTCCCGGTGCAGTCTGCAGGTGTCTGTCTGGGGACATCCCTGCCCACCTGCTGGTACTGTCGCAGTGCCTCCATCTCGCCTGCAAGGCGCGCTAGCTCCTCCGCATCGGGCTGGTATGTGGCAGGGACCTGGTATGTCTCCGGCCGCGCCCGGCAGCACATCTCGCAGCCGGGTCGCGTGGGCTTGTTGATGAAGGTGCAGCCCGGGCACTGCCAGCCCACCTGGGGACAGAGGGGCATGAACTCAGCGCACCGAGGGGCCAGGGCAGGGTGAGTCAGGGACGGGGTGGGGGTGGGGTATGGGGTTTGCTTACTGGTAGAGGCTCTGGAGTGGTGTCAGGCTGCCCCTGCCCTGGCTCCTGGGGGACCCCAGGCTTCGGAGGTGCCGGCTCCAGTGGGCCCCTAGGCTGCAGCGTGAGGTCTTTGAAGCCCAGATCTGGGAAGGAGGGTTAAGAGGTTGGTTAGATCCATGCCACCCACTTCATCCATGCCCCCTAGCCCGCTAAGAACCCCAACCCGCACCAAGCCCCCTCCTCCCTGGAAGTCTCCAGCTTGGACCTACCAGGTGAACCCAGACCTGGCTGAGTGTCCTGGTCCCCACAAGGTCACAGTCCCTCCTCTAACCATGAATGCTCCTGTGTTGTGGGGCTTAAAAATCCTGCCTAACAGCCAACCTCCTGTGCTCCTGAAGTGATGCACCTACAGGACAACACTCCTGAGCTGGTCCTGCCAAAATCCTGACTCTGGTCCATTTATGGACAAAAACTGGCCTGAGACTCTTAAACCGTCCGCATCGGGGGGGCGAAGGGAAGACTGACCAGACCAAAGACTGACAGACCAAGAGAGAGGAAGGCTGAGTGCCAGGACTTCTGTTACAAAGGACATTAGCCCTGGCTGATTTGGCTCAGTGGTTAGAGCATTGGCCTGCGGATCAAAGGGTCGCAGGTTCGATTCCCAGTCAAGGGCACGTTCCTTGGTTGCATGTGCACCCGGCCTTGGTTAGGGTCGTGCAGGAGGCAATCAATCAATGTGTCTCTGTCACATTGATGTTTCTCTCTCTCTCTTTCCCTCCTTCCTTCCCTTGTACTCTATCTAAAGTCAATGGAAAAATAAATAAATAATAAAGAACATTAGTACATAAAAGTGCTGTATCATTGTTCATTTCCTAAATTTGATAGGTCTGTGTGTTAATACAAGAAAATTAGTCTTGCCCTGGTGGTTTGGCTCAGTGGCTGAGCATCGGCCTGCGGACCAGAGAGTCCTGAGTTAGGCTCCCGCTAGGGGCATGTACCAAAAAAAAAAAAAAAAAAATTAGTCCTTTTTTTTTTTTTTTTAAAGAAAATACACACAGAAGTATTTATGAGAGAGGGCCATCATGTCTGCAACTTACTCTCAAAACATTTCAGAAAAAAATTATTTATAGGCATACAAATAATTTTTATAAATAATTTTATAGACAGGATGATAAAGCAGAGCAAATATGGTAAAATGTTAACATTTGGAGAATCCACACAAAAGGTCTATGAGAATTTGTTATATAATTCTTTGTACAATTTTGTAACTTTTCTGTAGGTCTAAAATATTTAACAATGTGAAGTAAAAAGTGTAAACACTAGCAATTGTCATGTTATCTAATTTACAGTTAGAAAACGGATGAGCAAAGCCAGGAAAAAAACTAATGAGGGAGAACACAGCCAGACTGAGCCCCGCCTCTCCCCTAGGCCGCAGTTCCCAAAATGGATCCCGAAGGGACTCCCTCCTGGGGTGTCCTTTGTCCTCTCTTCCCCACTCTGGGTAAGGTCCTCCAGGTGACCAAGAGCCCAAGGCTCTGCTCCCTCTAGCCCCATGACCTCAGGGGAGTCCCCTCACTCAGCAGCAGAGCCTCACCTTCCAGCATCCGCAACTGCCGCTCCCGCTGCAGCTCCTGAGGGTTGAGTGAGGTGTTGCAGGCGGACAGCAGGTACAGGTAGGCACTGTCGCCATTCCGCCGCACCCCATGGGAGTGCAGGGTCTCCTGGTCCCGGGCCAACCGCTGCCCAATCACCCACTGCTGCAGGGCTGGCGGGAAGCCATAGTCCAGGAACACCTGAAGGGGGGATGAAGACGGGGAGTGGGACGGGGGGCCAGGGAAGAGTCAGAGCAAAATGGGAAGCCTCCGCCCTGATGTCTCCCTTCAGTCTCCACACTCACCATGTCCTTGAGGGAAGCCACTGTCATATCAGGGCGCACTGTGAGCCAGATGGTGACAGTGTGCATCTGAGGATCCTCCACACTTACCCACAGCCTGCAGAGAAGAACAGCGGTGGTAACAAGGGCTCTGGCTGCAGGTCCAACCTCGGCCACCAGCTATAGCATGGACATGTTTGTACACTTGTGCATGGACACACACACACACAAAGGAGCCCCCCAGTCTGTGTTAGGGGCCCCTCCTGGATTCTCACACCCTATACTTCCTCCTTTATCAGAACCCACTGCTTAAGCCTCTCCAATGGCTCCACACTGCTCCTAGAATAAAATGCACACTCACATGCACACAAGGGCCTCTGTGATCTGGCCCCTTACTTCCTCTCCAGTCTCTTCTATCATTCTCTCCCTTGCTCCTTAGCCAAGCCACCCAGGTATTGTTTACCGTATGCCAAGACTGCAAAGCACTCGACATGCATTAACTCACTTAATCCTCTCAACAAGCCCATGTGGCAGGGACTGTTGTTATCCCTATTTTACAGATAAAAACATGAGCCACAGACAGGTTACGGCGACTCTGCCAAGTAGCAATAAATAACTGTTAGAGGCAGGATTTCAATCCAGTCTTATTCCAGAGAAATAATTTTAAACACCAACTTTCTCAAGGATCCTAAAGCATTTTTGGAAGACCAAAAGCATAAAAAGGGAGAGCTAAATGAAAAACCAGAAATGATCCTAGAGGAATTAGATAAATTAGGGTACAAAACAGTAACAGTAAAGTTCACTCTGTACCTTTAAAGAGATTTGGGAAAACATTGCATTCCACAAAACAAGAACAGCAAGAAGCAATCAGAAAATGAGGAAGAATTCCTGGAAATGTACAAAGTGACTCCTGACTAACCTAGCCTTTAGATCCAACTACAAGTTCACAAGGAAAATGGGAGACATTAAATGACACCCTGAGGAGGCAATTAATAAATCCAGAATGTAGGAAAATTCTAAAGATCAAAGACCAGATTTCTTTAAAAAATTAATGGCATAAAAACAGAGGAGAATAGTCCTGCCTGACCAGTGTGGCTCAGTGGACTGAACATCGGCCCATAGACTGAGAGGTCCTGGTTCGATTCCCGGTCAGGGCACATGCCCAGGTTGCCGGCTCGATCCCCTGTAAGGGGCGTGAAGGAGGCAGCTGATTGATGTTTCTCTCTCACATCAATGTTTTTCTCTCCTCTCCCTTCCTCTCTCTCTAAAAAACAAATAAAATATGTATTTTTTAAATAAATAAATAAAAAGAATAGTCCTGGCCGGTGCTGTTCAGTGGTTAGAGCCTCCCCTCCCCATCCCACCTCCCCTCCCACCAAAGGGCCATGGATTCAATTTCTGGCCCCAGTGAGAGCACATGTGGGAGAGAAGCAATTGATGTGTCTCTCTCACATCGATATTTCTCTCTCTCTCTCCCTCCCTCCCTTCCAGTCTCTCTAAAAATCAATGGAAAAATATCCTTAGGTGAGGACTAACAACAACAAAACAACTTACTACAAAGCTACAATAATCAAAACTGTATGATACTGGCATAAGGACAGACATATATATCGATGAAATAAACCTCATATTTATGGTCAATTAATTTTCAACAAAGGTGCCAAAATGATTAAACAGGGAAAGAATAGCCATTTTAACAAATGGTGCTGAGAGAACTAGATATCCATATGCAGAAGAATGAAGTTGGACCTCTACTTTGCACCTTACAAAAGCTAACTTGAAATGGATCCCAGACCTAAATGTAAGAGCTAAAACTATAGCCCTGGCCGGTTTGGCTCAGTGGTTAGAGCGTCGGCCTGCGGTCCAGAGAGACCCGGGTTCGGTTCCCGCTAAGGGCACGTACCTCGGTTGCAGTTTGTCCCCGGCCCTGGTTGGTCGTGCGGGTGGCAACCACTCGATGTGTCCCTTCACATCGATGTTTCTCTCTCTCTCTCTTCCTCTCCCTCCCTACCGCTCTGTCTGAACAAAAAATGCAAAAAAAAACAAAAAAACAAAAACAAAAAAAAACGTCCTCGGGTGAGGATTAAAAAAAAAAAAGAGCTAAAACTATAAAACTCTTTTTTTTTTTTTTTTATCCTCACCCGAGGACATTTTTCCATTTCCTGTTCAGGTAGAGTGGGAGGAAGAGAGAGGAACAGAGAGAGAGAGAAACATCAATGTGAAAGGAACACATTGAGTGGCTGCCACCCACATGACTGACCAGGGCCGGGGACAAACTGCAACCGAGGCACACGCCCTTAGCAGGAACCAAACCCGGGTCTCTCTGGACCGCAGGTCCATGCCCTAACTGCTGAGCCAAACCGGCCAGGGCAAAACACTATAAAACTCTTAGAAGAAAACACAGTGGTAAATTTTCATGACCTTGGATGAGGCAGTGTTTTCTCAGATAACACCAAAAGCACAAAATATAAAAAGAAACAGATAAATTGGACTTCATCAAAATTTAAGACTTGTGCTTTAAGGACACTATCAATAAAGTGAAAAGACAACCTACAGAATGGGAAATGAAATATGTCCATTGTATGTACACATACACATTTTCTTTATCCATTCATGCGTCAATGGACACATAGGTTGTTTCTGTGTGTGTGTGTGTGTGTGTGTGTGTGTGTTCTAATATATATATTAGAATATTATTCAGCCATAAAATAGAAGGAAATCCTGCCACTTGAAACAACATGGATGGAACTCAAGGGCATTATACTAAGTGAAATAAGTCAGAGAAAGACAAATGGTGTGGCTCAGTGGATCGAGCATTGCCTCATGGTCTTGAGAGGTCCCAGTTCGATTCCCGGTCAGGGCACATGCCCAGGTTTCAGGCTCAATCCCCAGCAGGGGGTATGAAGGAGGCAGCCAATAGATGTTTCTCACATCAATGTTTCTATCTCTCTCTCCCTTCCTCTCTCTAAAAATCAATAAAAACATATTTTTAAATAATGAAGTCAGAGAACAGACTGGTGAGGGAATAGGTAAAGGTGGTCAAAAGGTAAAAACTTCCAGTTATAAGATAAAAAAAATAAGTTTTGTGCCCAGCTGGTGTGGCTCAGTAGTTGAGCGTCGACCCATGCACCAAGAGGTCACCGGTTCGATTCTTGGTCAGGGCATATGCCCAGATTGTGGGCCAAATCCCCAGTGGGGGGCATGCAGGAGGTGGCCAATCAATGTTCTCTCTCATCAATGTTTCTTTCTCTCTCTCCCTCTCTCTAAAAAAATTAATAAAGAGCCCCGGCCAGTTTTGCTCAGTGGTTAGAGCGTTGGCCCGCGGACCAGAGAGACCTGGGTTCGGTTCCCGCTAAGGGCACATACCTCAGTTATAGTTTGTCCCTGGCCCCAACAGGGTCGTGTGGGTGGCAACCACTCAATGTGTCTCTCTCACATCGATGTTTTTCTCTCTCTCTTCCTCCCTCTCTCCCTCCTGCTCTGTCTGAAGATAAATGCAAAAATGTCCTCGGGTAAGGATTAAAAAAAAAATCAAAGACAAAAAAAATTTTTTAAATAAGTTCTATGGATGTAATGTACAGCATGGTGACTATAGTTAACAATACTATGGTGTGTATTTGAAAGTTGCTAAGAGTAAATCTTAAAAAAAGTTCTCATGAGAAAAATAATTTTAATTATGTGAAGCAATGGATGTTAACTTTTTGTGTAATCATATATAGATAAAATCATGTTGTACACCTAAAATGGTCCTGAGACACAATTTCCGACATGCAGAGAAGGGGAGGGGGACTTCCCACACAATACCAAGCAATTCTCAGATACCAGCAGGTCATCCTACAATTCAGTTCAATTCTGACACTATCCAGCTGGAGACAGCATCAGCTTCCGCAGGTTAAGGGCTCAGTTCTACAAGGCTGCCCCGCCCCCCATTCAGATCCTACAGACACCATACATATTGGGGATTCTAACCAGCCCCTCCTTGGACTTCAGGCACCAGATGCAAGTCCAGGTTGTTATGTGTACTTCTGACCAACTGGCTGTAAATCAGAGATGTATATGTCTACATAAAAAATTAGACACGCCCTGGCCGATTTTGCTGTGTTTAGAGCGTCGGCCTGCGGTCCAGAGAGACCTGGGTTCCTTCCTGCTAAGGGCACGTACCTCAGCTGCAGTTTGTCCCGGCCCCAGTTGGAGTTGTGTGGGAGGCAGCCACTCGATGTGTCCCTTTCACATCGATGTTTCTCTCTCTCTCTCCCTCCCACTCTATCTGAACAAAAATGGAAAAATGTCCTCAGGTGAGGATAAAAAAAAATTAGACACAACAGCCTGGCCAGTGTGGTTCAGTGGACTGAGCGTTATCCCATGGACTGAGAGGTCCAGGTTCAATTCTGGTCAGGGCACATGCCCGGGTTGTGGGCTTGATCCCCAGTGGAGGGCATACAGGAGGCGACTGACTGATGTTTCTATCTCACCTTGATGTTTCTCTCTCTCCCTTCCTCTCTTTCTCACAAATCAATAAAAACATTTTTAAAAAGAATTAGACACAATAGTTCATAGCAGTATTATTCACATTAGCCAAAGAGTGAAAACAACCTAAATGTCCAACAACTGATTGATAAAGAAAATATAGTATATCCACACAACCGAGTATTACTCAGCAATAAAAAGGAATTAAAGCCCTGGCTGGTTTGGCTCTGCAGTGAGAGAGTCAGCGGTCCAAGGGTTTGATTCCAGTTGAGGGCACATACATGGGCTGCAGGTTCGATCCCTGGCCCCGGTCAGGGTCATGCAGAAGGCAACCAATCGATGTATCTCTTTCACGTCAATTAAAAAAAAAGAATGTTCTATGGGGGTCTGAGAGCCTTGAATTCTTATTGGATTGGTGAAGATTCCATGTACAAATTTTTTGAGGTTATCCTCATTGATCCATTCCATAATGCTATCAGAAGGAATCCTGACACCCAATGGATCACCAAACCAGTCCACAAGCACAGGGAGGTGCGAGGGCTGACATCTGCAGGCTGCAAGAGCCTCGGCCCTGATAAGGGCCACAGGTCCCACCACATTACTGGTGGTTCTCGCCGTGCAGCTTGGAGAGGCATACAACTCTCCCACTCTACCATTATCACTAATATAAGTCACATGCAAAAAATTCTTACCTAATAAACTATTTAGGACAGTCATGTCTGCTTAAAAGTGCTCTTTAATTTGCTAAAACTAGTTGTCTGCAGATTGTTTCATGAACGCATTGTCAAATTATGAAAGTTAAAGTGCAATAATGTTTGAAGACTATAAGTGATGGTGTATCTCATTTCTCTTAAGATAAACACTTTTGTTTTTGCTTTATTAGGGAGTTTTCTATGTCGGTGTTTAAAATGCTGTTTTGTATAAAAGGTGTAAAGTAAATTCTGTGAAAGAGGAAAAAATAAACTGTTCTACTGGCAAGAATATATTGTGGCCCCTGGGGTTCAGCAAGCCCTATGTCCCTGGTCAGCCATGCACTACTCACCTGATATCCTGCGTTGGGGAGTCCTCAGGTTTCAGTTGCACACTCAGGGGTACCCGTTGCTCTGCCAGCCACATGGCACACTCCATAGCCACCTGTTCATCCCCGCCTGCCACTGCTCGGCTGAGTCTCAGGGCCATCTCCTCGGCTAAAATGCAACACAGTGGAAGAAAGTTAGCATAGGGTTTATTTTTCAGGAGCTGGGGCTGATGGGGTGAGACAGGAGATGACCCTTTGTACATGCTGTTTCTTCTGTCTTCCTGGTGAACTACTCCGTATCCTTCAATACCCAACTTAAAAGTCCCTTTCTCTGGGAAGCCTTCTTTGATACTCCCCAGTCTCCCTCCCTGCTCATTTGTTTCTATTTCTCTTTCATACTCCCAAGCCCCCATACTCCCATTCATTTATCTGACAAGCATTTATTGAGCTCCTACTGTGTGCCAGCCATTGTCCCAAAAACTGAGATTCAGCAAGTGAATTAGACAAACATGGTCCCTCTCCTCAGGGACCTTTTACTATGGTAAGAAGACAAACAAGCTTAACAAGAGGGAAAAAATCAGACTGTCATCCATGCTGGCAAGGAAATAAACAGGGTAAGGAGATCAGAGAAGGCCTCTAGGAGGAGGTGACACTGAAGCTGAGACCTGAAAGAGAAGAAGCTGGATATTTCAAGACCCAGCTGGGAAAGAGTATTCCAGTAGAACGAAAGGTAGAGGCAAAAGCCTTGAGCAAGAAATGGTTGGATTAGATCAGAAAGAAGTCAGTGGAGCTCCAGCAGAATGAGCAAGAGGGTGAATGGAGGAAGACTGACAGGTCAGCCCAGCCAGCAGGGCCTTGTGGGCTATCCAAAGGCTCTGAGCTTTGTTCTAACAGTACAGAGGAGCACAGGAGGGTTTTGAGTAGGGTGGTGACATGACTTATGTCCTACAACAAAGTGTGGAGGGGGCAAGAGGGAAGGCAAGAACCCTTGGTATTCAGGTTTGAGGTCTGTCTCCCCCACCAGCCTGGGAGGTTTCCTGTGTCCTCTAGGAGCTCCCATCTCGGCTCAGCGCTGGCCCACGGAGGCCTCAGGGGCATCACATGAATGACAAGACACCTCGCAAGTAACCGGGCCCCAGGGGAGGAAACTGAATGGCAAGTGGGCAGAGGGAGGCCAGGGTTAAAGTCCCTCGCCCAGGCCTTTCTTGGCAGAGGAGGCGGAGTCCTGGCAGGGCCAACCTCCCACCCGAAGTTTCCCAGTCGCCTCCAGGCTGTGCCCACCTTTCTTGGTCTTCTCGTCCATCTGGCGGGGTTGCTCCCATCACCCCGGATGGGGGCTGCAGCTCGGGGGAAATGCTATCTCCAGGTCACCAGGGAGAAGGCGAGCAACTCAGCCCTGGCCAGGGGCCTCCGGCGTGGCCCAGGCTCTCTTTGTGCCTCAGTGTCCCCAGCAGCGGTCGGGTGGCATCAGACTACCCGCGGACCGGGGACGGGGCCTGGAACGGGGCACAAGCCGGGACCCCGCATGGGAGGTGAAAGGGCAGGAGGCACCGCGCCGAGCCCGCAATGGGCGAGAGAAAAAAATGGGACAGGCCTGGTTGGGGGAGCGACACCGCACAGCCGGGACGCTGGAAGGCCCCGGGCAGGGCCCCCACTTCTCCCCGCTGGAAGCGCCCCGGCGCCCGGATTTCAGCCCAACTCCCCGCTCTTCGGCTCGTCAGCCAGGTGGACGGGGGGGGGGGGGGGGGGGCAGTTTCCGCGGAAGAGAAAGTGAAAGTGGCGGCCCCGGAAGTGGAGCAGGAGATTGTCGCGGGATCTGGGACGCCCTCCCCTTTGCCCGGCCCACCCCTGGCAGCCACTGGCGGACACCGTCCGGCTCCAGGTCGCGGCGTCCTCAGGCGCTCAACCTGCGGCGGCCCCACTCCACCCGGCAGGTAGACTCTCGACTGCCTCCCTCACCGGCCCGCAGTGCCACGGGGGCGGGGGAATGGGGTGGGCGGGGCCGGGCCGGGGTGGGCGGGGCCGGCCCGGGGTGGGCGGGGCGGGGGCGGGGATTCGGGCCGGGTGGGCGGGGCCGGCCTCAGCTCAGCCAGCCTCCTGCACAGGGGTGGGCAGACGCGGTCCTTACCTTTGTTTGCAGAAGAGGAAACGGAGACCCAGTGTAAGACCTGCCCACAAAGGCACATTTGAACCTGGGCCTGGCGGGCCCAGGAACCCACCCTTAGCCAGCCAGGCTCTGCTTCCTCTCGGCAACCACTCTCCTCCGTTTCATTGGGCCGCCAGTGAGGTTTGCACTTGCGCGCCTCAGCTGGAAGCTCTTTGCATCCTCTACACAACCTGCTCCTTCATTTTCTCCCACCCCTCATTTCATAGATTATCAGGTCCTGTGGGCCCCCCCTGCAGAATAGATCCAGAATCCATCACCTCTCCCCACTTCCACGCCCCATCTGCTGATCTCTCTGGTGTTTTGCAACAACCTCATTGGGCTCCTTGCTTCTCCTTTTGGCCCCTATAGCCCGTTTTCCACCCAGCTGCCAGAGGGTCCTGTTAGAGAGGAAATCAAACTATTGTCACTCCTCAAAAACACTCCTAATAGTTTTCATCTCACTCAAAATAAAAACCTAGTAAACGCCTGCAAACTGTCTCTTCTCCTTTGACTTCTCTTCCCTGGTTCATTCCACTCAAGCCCCACTGGACCTTTTTGGTCTACACAAAAGTTTTCTCTGTCTACTCTTTCTGAAATGTCACATACACACCGACATCCAGCATTTCATAGCCTCTTTCCTGGCTTCATTCCCTGCCTCCCACCCCCCTAAATCATGTATTACTATCTACTAGCATATTTTACTTATTTATCTTGGGTTTTTTTGTATTTTACTTATGTATCTTGTTTTTTTTTGTGTTTCCCTTTTCTAAAGGGCAGGGACTTTTTTTATTTTTTATTTTTTTTATTATTTATTTATTTATTTAAAATCTTTATTGTTGTATGTATTATAGATGTCCCTCATTTTTCTCCCATTGACCCCCCCTCCTCCCCTGTCCCGCCCCCCTCCCACCTTTTCCCATACTATTGTCTGTGTCCATTGGTTATGCATATAAGTTCTTTGGTTTATTTCTTCCCATCCCCCAACCCCCTTCCCTTTGAGGTTTGTCATTCTAGCCATGAATTTGTACTTCTTAATCCTTTCACCTTTTTCAACCATTCCCCCAACATCCCTCCCATCTGGCAACCAACAAAATGTTCTCTGAATCTATGAGAATGTTTCCGTTCTGCCTGTTCATTTTGTTTGTAGATTCCATTGTCAATAGATATGTATTCATTGCCATTTTGTTTGTTCATATATTTTATCTTTTTCTTCAAAAAGACCCTTCAACATTTCATATAATAACAGTTTGGTGGTGATGAACTCCTTTAACTTTTTGTCTGGGAAACTCTTTATATGGCCATCGATTCTAATTGACAGCTTTGCAGGATAGAGTAATCTTGGTTGTAGGTTCTTGGTTTTCATCACTCTGAATATTTCTTGCCACTCCCTTCTGGCCTGCAAAGTTTCTTTTGAGAAATCAGCTGACAGCCTTATGGGAACTCCCTTGTAGGCAACTAACTGCTTTTCTCTTGCTGCTTTTAAGATTCTCTCTTTGTCTTGAACCTTTTGCATTTTGATGATGATGTGTCTTGGTGTGGGCCTCTTGGGGTTCATCTTGTTTGGGACTCTCTGTGCTTCCTGGACTTGTAGGTATGTTTCCTTCACCAAGTTAGGAAAGTTTTCTGCCATTATTGTTTCAAACAGGTTTTCAATTTCTTGTTCTCTCTCTTCTCCTTCTGGCACCCCCAAGATGCAAATGTTGGCACGCTTGAAGTTGTCCCAGAGGTGCCTTACACTATCCTCATTTTTTTGGATTCCTTTTTCTTTTTTTTTTTATCCTCACCCGAGGACATTTTTTTTCCATTTTTTTGTTGTTGTTGTTGTTGTTGTTCAGGTAGAGTGGGAGGGAGAGAGAGGAACAGAGAGAGAGAGAGAAACATCGACGTGAAAGGAACACATCGAGTCGTTGCCACCCGCACGACCGACCAGGGCCGGGGACAAACTGCAACCGAGGTACATGCCCTTAGCGGGAACCGAACCCGGGTCTCTCTGGACCGCAGGCCGACGCTCTAACCACTGAGCCAAAACGGCCAGGGCAGGATTCCTTTTCCTTTTTGCTGTTCTGATTGGGTGTTTTTTGCTTCCTTATATTCCAAATCAATGGTTTGCTTTTTGGATTTACATACTTTACTATTGAATCTTTGTAAATTATTCTTCATTTCAGTTAAAGCCTCCTTCGTTTCTAACTGTGCATCCATCATTTCTGACTGGTCTTTTTTTATGCTCTTAAGGCCCTCACTAAGTTCACTGAGCATCCTTATAAGCAGTATTTTGAACTCAGCATCTGTTAGGTTGCTTATCTCCATTTCGCTTAGTTCTTTTCTTGGGGTTTTGTTCTGTTCTTTCATTTGGGACCTGTTTCTTTGTCTCCTCATTTTGGCTGCCTCCCTGTGTTTGTTTCTGTGTATTACTTAACGAAAAGTATGGGGCTATCTGAGACGAGATGCTGCTTGTTTGAAAGAATTTAGGAACATCTGCAGCAGGATCCAAGACAGGCCAATCCTATGGTTAAGCAACTGGCAACAGCTTGGGTGGACCTGAAAGTTGGGTGGGGCGGGGCCTCAGGGAATCACCAGGGCGGGGCTACCAGTGTGAGCCAGGTTGCTGGAGAACCAGATATGGGGGCTGTCTGCCGCCCCAGGGAAGAGCTCACCAAAGGAACAAAGGCCTCTGACAGCACGTTTGTCCCAGAGAAAGCCCCCTCTCCAGCCCTCGCTTCAGTGCCAAACAGCTCAGTTCTTTCCTGTAAGTCTCTAGTGCCCCTGGAGCTGCCTCCCCTCCAAGCTTAGAGGGAGTGAGTCCGAGGTCCGTGCGTGGGCCCTTTAAGGAGCTGCCTGGGGTTCCAGCCGCCTGGGCCTCCCTGAGCCTCAGTTCCCGCTGGTTTTGCCAGCCAGAAGTTATGGGGACTTCTCTTCCTGGCACTGGAACCCTGAGCGGGGCACCTGGTGTGGGACGGGGACCCCTCAGTCCTCTGGAAGGACCTTCCCAGCCGAGGTGTCCGCCTGATTTTTATCCGCCACACGTGGGTGTGGGACCAGCCTGTTGTGCCTCCGCCCCTCCTACCAGTCTCGATGCAGCTTCTTTAATTCCGTAGTTGTAGGACTTCCATTCAGCCCGATTTCAGGCGGTTTTGAATGATGGTTGTCCTGTAGTTTTGTTGTAACTTTGATGTGGTTGTGGGAGGACGTGATACCATCTTTACCTACGCCGCCATCTTGACTGGAAGTCCTATTTTTATTTTTTATTTTTTTAAACACGATGTGAGAGAGACACATGGACTGGCTGCCACCCACATGACCCCAGCATGACCCCAACTGGGGCCAGGGACAAACTGCAATCAAGGTATGTGCCCTTAGCGGGAACTGAACCTGGGTCTCTCCCGGCCTTGGGCCAACGCTCTAACCGCTGAGCCAAACCGGCCAGGGCTAGAATCACTTTCTTTTGGCTTGAAATACATCCATTAAGACAGAGGCTCTCAACCTGGGCTGTATTTCTGAATCACCTGGGGAAGCTTTTATTTTTATTTTTCCATTGATTAAAATTTTTTCCATTGATTTTTAGAGAGAGTGGAAAAGAGGGAGAGAGGGAGACAGAGAGAAACATCAATGTGTCCAGAAATTGAACCCAAGACCCTTTGGTGAGTGGGCCTATGCTCTAACCACTGAGCAACACCAGCCAGGGCACTTGGAGGAGCTTTTTAAAATCCTAAAGCCCTTGCCCGGCCAGTGTGGCTCAGTGGTTGAGCGTTGACCCATACACCAAGAGGTCGCTGGGTTTGATTCCCAGTCAGGGTACATGCCCAGGTTGTGGGCCTGATCCCCAGTGGGGGGCATGCAGGAGGCAGCTGGTCAGTGTTCTCTTTCATCAATGTTTCTGTCTGTCTCTTCCTCTCCTGTCCTCTCTCTCTAAAAATAAATAAAGGGAAAAAAATTTTTTTTAAATTCTAAACCCCAGTCCACATTTCAGAAAATTGATTCAGAAACCCTGGGGGTAGGCCCAGCCATCAGGATTTTTTAATGCTGTCTGATATTTGTAATGAGAAGCCAAGTTTGAGAACCACTGTTTTATAATTCCCTATAAGGAGAGTCTTCTGGTGACAAACTTTTTGTTTTGTTTGAAAGTCTTTATTTAGACATTTTTCTTTTGTTGTTGTTTTTAATCCTCACCTGAGGATATTTTTTCCATTGATTTTCAGATAGAGTAGAAGGGAGGGAGAGAAGGAGGGGGAGCGAGAGAGAGAGAGAAAGAAAGAGGGAGAGAGAGAAACATTGATGTGAGACACATCCATTGGTTGCCTCCTGCACGACCTCCACTGGGGCTGGGGATCAAACCCGCAACCCAGGTACCTGCATGCCCTTGACCAGGAATCGAACCCCCGACCCTTTGGTCTTCGGGCCATTGCTCTAACTACTGAGCCAAACTGGCTAGGGCTCCATTGATTTAGATAGAGTGGAAGGGAGGGAGAGAGAGAGAGAGAAAAAAATCATTGATGTGAGAGAGACATCACTTACTTGGTTGCCTCCCACACGGCCTGGACCAGAGCAGGGGATTGAATCCCCAAACCAGGAATGTGCCCTCAACTGGGAACGAAACCCATGACCCTTTGGTCCAAGGGCCAACATTCTTTTTTTTTGGTACATGCCCCTAGCAGGAACCGAACCTGGGACTCTCTGGTCTGCAGAATGACACTCCAGCCACTGAGCCAAACCGGCCAGGGCTAAGGGCCAACACTTTTACCTGCTGAGCCAAACCAGCCAGTGCTAGACCTCATTCTTGATATTTTCACTGGGTATAGAATTCTAGTTGGCATTCCAGTACCTTGAAGATAGAATTCCATTGTCTTCTAGCTTCCATGGTTGCTGTTGAGACATCATCACCTGTCAGTCTGACTGCTGATCTTTTTATCCTCATTCAAGGACATTTTTCCATTCTTTGCTCAGATAGAGTGGGAGGGAGGGAGAGAGAAACATCGACGTGAAAGGGACACATCGAGTGGCTGCCTGCTGCATGACCCAACCAGGGCCATGGACAAACTGCAACTGAGGTACGTGCCCTTAGTGGGAACCGAACCCAGGTCTCTCTGGCCCGCAGGCCGAGGCTCTAACTGCTGAGCCAAATTGGCCAGGGCTGTATCTTTTATTTTAGAAGTTCTGTTAGCTTTTTAAATCTGTTATGTCACTTGATATAATTCCTAAACTTTGGTTATAGTTTCAAGTTTTTGTTTTGTTTTGTTTTTATATATCTTTATTGTTGAAAGTATTACAGATGGCCCTCCCCCCCACCACTGGCATCCCTCTCCCTGCTCCCACCCCCCTCAAGCTTACTTATTTAAGCCTTATTAGTAAACATTTGTTTTATAATTGATGTCTGATAATATTGTTATCTGAACTGTGAATGCCTGTTCCTTTTTTTTATTTATTGATTTGAGAGAGAGGGAGAGGAAGAGAGAGATGGAAACATCAATGAGAGAAAACATCGATAGGCCACCTCCTGCATGCGCCCACTAGGGATCAGACTCACAACCTGGGCATGTGCCCTGACCAGAAATCGAACTGGAGACCTCTTGGTGCATGGGTTGACGCTCAACCACTGAGCCACACCAGCTGGGTGTGAATGTCTGTTTTTGCTAGTTTTCAGTCCTGTTGCCTTGTTTCTCCTGCTGACCCTGCTGGTTTATGATGGTCATGTTCCCTTCAGCCCTGAGGTAATCTGCACAAATTTGTATTAGGAGTACATATATTCTTTCAAGTATTCTGGTCTTAGCCTTGGCCCTTCAAAGCCAGAGTTGGTATTCACTTTGGACATTCTTCATCCTAGTGGGTAAATTCCAGTCATTCAAACCATGGTTCAGTCCCACAGTTCACTATCTGTGTGACCCTGGACAAGACATCCCCCCCTCTGGGCCTCAGTTTTCCCCTCTCTACAGTGGTGTTCATGATGGTCCTTCCCTAATAGGGCTGACCTGAGGATCTGTATCAGTTACTGTTATTGATATGTAACAAATTACCCCCAAACTCAGCAGTTTAAAACAATTTCTATAGATTAAGAATTCGGGAGCAGTTTCTTTTGTAATTTGACTAAAGGTCTCTCATGAGGTTGTAGTTAAGATTTTAGCTGGGGCTTCCTTCAGTCATTGAAAGCTTGATGGGCTGGGGATTGACTTTCAAGTCCACTCACATGCCTGGTTGGTGATGGTAATTGCAGGATGCCCAAGTCCCTTGCCACAGGTACCTTCCCATAGGGTTACTGAGTGTCCTCGCCACATGGCAGCTGGCTTCCCCAGAGCAGATGATGCAGGGGAGCAAGGCAGAGCCATCGTGTATTTTATGGCCTAGCGCAAAGAGTCATACTTCACAGTCTCCTATCAGTTACACTGGTCAGCCCAGCTCAGAGTGGGAGGGAACTACACAAGGGCATGGATACCAGGCATCGAGGACCACTGAGGCTGGCTATCACATGTCCAATGAGATAATGCATGTAAAACACTTATAACCATGCCTGGCATGTGGTATGTGCTCACAGTAAACATTAGCCATCCCTAATAAGTGTTCTGGCTTTGCTCTAGGCATGTAGGATCTACACAGAAACCACTGTCATTCGGTCATTCAACAAACATTTATTGAGCGGTTGTGTGCGCCACGCACTACTGCAAACAAAACATAGTACGAAACTAACACAAGCAAACAGATTTAGAATGCTCTGCCAGGTGGTGTTAAGTACTATGAAGAACCACAAAGGCAGGTAAGGGGAGAGGATGAGAGGATGAAGGCTTCATGTCTTCCCCTGTAAAGCTGGTACAGCAGTAGCCGTGGCTCAGATTCTGACCTCTGATAAAGCCCTCCCATACCTGTGAGCCCATAGAATTCTCACAGGCAGAATTTATACCCATTGTACGCCCGGGCTGGTGTCAAAACAGGCACAGAAGCTGAAATGAGCTGAGTCCCCAAGGAATCAGGATTTCTCCCAGTACAGGGGTCCTCCAACTAGGAGGCTGGTTAGGAGGCAGACACCCCCCCCCCAACACACACACAAGCATCTGACTCACTAGGTCTGGGGAGAGTCCAAGGATCTGCATTTGTTTTTTAATCCTCACCAGAGGATATGTTTGATTTTTCTTTGAGAGGGAGAGAAAAATATTGATATGAGAAACATCAAAGGCATCTGCATTTTTAAGGAAGCACCCCAGGGGCTGGAGCAGCCCCACCTGCTTCCTGCCCAACCACGTCTACAAACCCTGTGCTTGGGCGGGGCAGGGGAGGGCAGGCCCTCTGACAAGTGTCAGCAGAGGCTCCAGATCCAGCCTCAAGGGGTGGGCAGGGCTTAGCCCACAGAGGAAGGGAACAGACTGAGGCCCAGAGACACCAAGCAGCTAACTCGAGTATGAGTTCTCAGGTACTACAGTGCCACTCTCCTTTTTCCTCGGGTCACAGATGTCTCTAATGTGACAGCAAGGACAACAGAGCAAAGAGACAGAAAGACTGGGGAGCCGGGTTCCTGCCAACAGCTCTGAAAGCTAAATCAACCAGCCCTGAAAGCCACCCCACCTGCTGACTTCTTGCTTTGTGTGAAATAAATTTCCTTCTTTTTTAAGCTACTTTGACTCAAGGTTTCAGTTACTTGCAGCCCAAATTATCCCCGTGAGACACCATAGCCTCCAGAAGAAAAAGAGGGAGTGCAGAGGCCTCACTGTGGGGCTGGTTTGGGAAAATTGGTAAGAGAAGATAGAAGAAATGCCTGGTCTGGGAAAAATAAAAGTATTTCACAACTCCTTTATTAGGCACGAGGTAAAAATATATAGTCATGGAATCGAAAACCTACAGTGCTGATGTGGGGTTCTAGGCCCCAAGTGTCCCCAGAACTGGGTTTAGGACTTTCCAGGAGGCCAGGGGGCAGACCCCACCTAGTCTGGGCCCCAACTCCAGTGCTCAGGCCAGGGGCGGCGAGGCAGACTGGCCTGGACCTTCATCCCAAACACTCCTCGGGGGTGATGAGGAGCCTCCTCACAATTTGCACTCTTGCTCTTCCAGCCCAAATGCTTGGCTCAGGCCTGGACAGAGAATCCCCACTTCTCTGCAGAAGTCCCGCCAGGGCTCTGGAGCCCGAAGCTGCAGGGGCGAGACTGGAGCCTTTGGCACAGGGCGCTTCCTTTTCTCCGAAAGGTGCACACACAAAGGCAGCTGGGTTGGCTGAAGGGGACCGTCCCATGGCGGAGGTGCCGGGCACCAGCACGAGTGGATGCCATCACCTGCACTAAGTGGACCCGGCCCAGGACACACACTGGCCTGTGGGTTTGGAAAAGCAGCATCAGCTCTGTGAGCAGGGGTGTGTCTTGTTCAGAGCTGTGTTCTCAGCACCTAGAACGGGGCCCACAGCGAGCTCCCAGGGAAGACCTGTGGAAGCTGAGCCCGCGCACAGGTAGAACCGCACCGGCGGCACACAGCGTGCTCCACACACCTCTTCTCCCCTTCTAGAAGGCACTTAAGGTTTGTCTCAAAGAGGCAGGGGGAGCTTGGGGATGCCACAAACCCAACCCACAGTTCACAGCTGAGTCTGGTAGGGTAGGCCTACCCATATAAACCCATTTCCCTTTCTCCCTCCTCTTCCTCGACTTCCTCCAGCCCTGGCCTTTCCGGGACCACCTGGTCAGCCTCCCAGAGGTGGGCTCGGGATGGGACTGAGGGGACCAGGTTCTCCCGAAGCCAGGGGTGCAGGAGGATGCCTGAGGCCGTGAGCCTCTCAGCTGGCTCTCGTCGAAGCAGGCAACGAATTAGGCAGCGGGCCGGGGCCGAGAGGCTCTGAGGCAGAGCGTAGGCCCCCCGGAGGATCTTGCCAAAGAGCAGGGCAGGCTCTGAGTCCTGGAAGGGGTAGTGGCCAGCCAGCATGGTGTAGAGCGCCACGCCAAGGCTCCAGACGTCCGCTGCCTTGCCTGAGTAGGATGCCCGCGAGCTGAGGATCTCAGGTCCCACATAGGCCGGGCACGCGTGCTTATCCCATAGGGAGTCGTCTGGCCCAGTCAGCACGTAGGCATCCTCCAGGTTCTCCAGCACCAGCTTTGTCCTGTGGCAAGGAGAGACAGAGGGCTCAGCTCCTGCTGGAACTCCCAAGCCACCACCCATGCTATCACCCTGAATGCCACCCGCTTCCTGAGTGCCTGCTGCCCCTGGCAGACATGAGCCAGTCCTGTGTGGCTGGATGACTGAGCCCATTTCACAAAGGAGGAATCCCAGGCTCAAAGAGGCTAAACCACTGCTCAAGGTCAAGCAGCTATTAAATTTTAACTAAGACTCTGAGAGGAACAGATTTTCCAACAGTCCCTGGTGGAGGGGGCTGAGGGTATTAAGCCTCTCGTAAAACATGCAAATTCAAGATCCAGGCAGGTAATAAAATGAGAGAAATAGGAAGTGGGACTGGGCCAAACACCTCAGCACAAGCCCTGCCTAAAAGTAAACATTAACAACTTTAGTCAATAATTACGAATTGGCCACTGGGTACCTGGCCCTGAGTTCAGCTTAGTACTCGACATATCTCATCTCATCCTCATACAACCTCAGAAAGACACCATCGTACATCCACAGGGCACGGGATGTGAGCCCCGGCTCTCACCCATCAGAGCCAACGCCAGCAACTGCTCACAGTTCCCAAGGAGGCCCCACAGTCCCATTTTTCTCCAAGAGAAGCCAAAAATCGTATTTTAACAAAACTGTCTAAGTTTCTGAAATGTTGGCAACCTACTTCAATCAAAAACAAATGAACAGGTACATGGGGCCAAAATAAAAAACGTGTGTGTGGCCTGCCATTTGCAAGTTCTGCTTTAAACAACTCCACAGAGCACAGTAGATTACTTTAATAATAACCACTCTATTCCCTCTGCCATCCATCTTATTCCTATGGCACCACTTCCTCAGGGCCTGCTGGCATCTCACAAACATTGATTAAGCCTGTGAATTACAGCATGGGGGTGTAGGGGTTAGTGTCAGCATTATTGGCCCATTTTACAGATATAGAAATCAAGGCTTAGACAGGGAAAGCCATTGCTCAAGGCCAAAGAACATGTTAAGTAGAATCAGGCCCGACTGGTGTGGCTCAGTGGATTGAGCATTGTCCCATAGACTGAGAGGTCCCGGTTCGATTCCTGGTCAGGGCACATGCCCAGGTTGTGGGCTCGATCCCCAGTAAGGGGCATACAGGAGGCAGCCAATGGATGTTTCCATCTGTCTCTCCTTTCCTCTTTCTAAAAAATAATCAATAAAAACATTTTTTTTTAAATAGAATCAGGATTTGAACCCAGGTCTGTCTGACTCTACCTCCCCTCTTCTACCAACATTGCTTCTTAAACTATTGCCTTGAAAAGAGAAAGAAGCACTTTCTCAGTTCTGGGAGGCCAGGGGGTATTGTACCCACTCTAAGCTCAAAATGATTTGAAGTTGTGCATTAGCTTAAGATTCATTATAGCCTGGGCAGGTATTGCTCAGTGGTTAGAGTGTCACCCTGCTCACTGAATGGTCTCAGGTTTGACTCCCAGTCAAAGGCACATACCTCAGTTGCAGGTTTGATCCCTGGCCCGGGACGGGGCTGTGTAGGAGGCAACCAACTGATGTGTCTCTATCACATTGATGTTTCTCTCTCTCTCTCTCTCTTTCTCTCTCTCTCCCTTCCTCCCTTCCACTCTATCTAAAAATCAATGAAAAAGTATCCTCCAGGTAAGGAATAACAACAACAAAAAAATCATTACAAATTTTACATTCCACTTCTTACTGAAGGCATTTTTTGAAAGTATAAAATGTAGAAGGAAAGAAGAAAGTAGAAAATCACCCTTAGACAAACATCACAGTAATAACTGCTACAGGGAAGGTAGGTGGCTGCTAAAATTAGTGGGCGTAAGTTTGAGGAAAACAGTATATTTACATAGCCTCAAAGCACCTCCAGGTACTTATTAATGGCAAGGTATCTATTAATTACACAGGGTAAATTGGGAACCTTACAGTGGAGGCATGTAGCAAACACCACCCTGACCAATGATCGGGATTGATATCATAGTAACACGCATCACCGTCTTGTCCTTCCTGATGTCAGGCACTGAGAAGGGCCTATCACTTCTGTGATATTCTTTCTTTTTATCCTCACCTGAGGATATGTTTATTGATTTTTGAGAGAGAGGAGGGGAGAAAGAGAGAGAGAAACATCGACCAGTTGCCTCCCATATGAGCTCCGAGGATTGAACTGGCAACCTAGGTATGTGCCCTGACCAGGAATCAAACCTGAAACTTTTGGTGTAGGACAACGCTCCAACCAGCTGAGCCACCCAGCCAGGGCTTCTGTGATATTCTTGTCAAAGATGTATAACCTCAACTTAACCATGAAAAAAACATCCGCTGAATCCTAACTGAGGGACATTCCACAGAATAACTGACTGGTACTCTTCACAAGTATCAAGGTCAAGAAAGACAAGACTGAGGACCTGTGTCAGACTAGAGGACACTAAGGAGACATGACTTGTGAATGCAGGGTGGGGACCTGGATTGGATCTCGGACAGAGGACACAGTGGGAAACTAGTGAAATCTGAACCAATCTGTGGTTTAGTTAGTAGTATGAGACCAAGATTAATTTATCGATTTTGGGAGCTGCACTATGGTCATGTAAGATGTCAACCTTAGGGGAAACTGGGTAAAGGAAATACAGGAACTCTTTGGACTAGGTTTTGCAACTCTTCTGTAAGTCTAAAGTATTTGAAAATAAAAACTAAATGTTCAATGAGGTCACTGTCACCCCACCACCCTAAAAACTCTTGACATGAGAGATGTTCAAGTGGACCTGGTGGCTTGGTGAGCTCCGACACATCCTGCAAGCTCCCAGGATCGGGGTGAGGAATGCCAGGTCCTTTTCTGTCCCCCTCTCCAGAAATCACTGACTTTCAGTTTTACAGGAAAAGGTTCCTGTGTGGGGAACTCAGGGCACATTTGGCTGTTGTCCATGACTTTGAAATCCTGGAAATATCTTGACAATCCAGCCCTTTCCCCTACCAATAGGGAAACTGAGGTCCAGAGACACTGGTCCACCCAGAGTCAGCAAGTAACCCAGCCAGGCCTCCCACCCCTCAAGCTCAGAGGGAATTAGGACCCTGGCGCTGGAGTCACATCCGGGTTCAAACCCCAGCTTCCTCTTTATTCAGCTGTGGGATCTTAGGCATTACTGACCTTCCTGGGTCTCAGTTTCCTCACCTGCCATATGGGCGCAATAACAGTGTCCCCCTCACATTTGTGAGGGTGCAGGCCAAGTCCGACAGAGTAGCTATGCTCTTCATCACTGTCTGTCATCACAAAGACAATGCTCCATCCCAAGGGCTTCCAACAGGACTGAGTCAACTTTCCCCTGGGAACCTGGCAGTGGTACCGTCCAGGCTTCTCCACTTTTTGTGTAGGCTACTTTGCCTTCCTGAGGCTCAGTTTCCCCAGTATGGCTCACCTCTTGGGTGTGCCTGTGGAAGAGTTCTCCACTGCCACACTCACCTCTCACAGTTGGTGAAGACAAAGCGGCGCAGCTTGAGGTCTCGCAGGACTAGGCCATGCTGGTGACAGTGTGCCACGGCGGTGGCCATCTGACGGAAAAGCCCTGCAGCCTCCGGCTCCGGCAGGCAGCGGCGGTGTCGCACCAAACTGTGCATGTCCCCATGGGGCCGCGGGAAAAAGGTGTAAAGGTGGTGTGTGCCCGCCAGGACCTCTGCTGGTCGTGCCACATGCCTGTGGGGAGGCAGCCTGGAGTAGGGCTCCAGCACCGCCAGGGCCTCGCAGACCGGGTATACCTGTGGGCGGAGCATGGCATGAGCACTGCAGGGCCCAGGCTGGCCTTGGAAACAGTCACAGCTGAACCTTTAGACACTACTGGGTGCTAGGTAGTGCCAAGTGCTTCTGTAGCAAACCACTCAACCCCGACAAAGCTGAGGCCACACAGCTATCACATGCTCTTAACTGCTATCTCATATGGCCTTAAACTTAAGATAATTAAAAAATAACAGGTAATCCAAACAAAAATAACCCCGAAAGCAGGGAAATCCAAAGCAGCAAGGAAATCCAAAGCAGCAGGTGATGCAGAATTAACTTTATGCCCATCATCATCATCACAGTTTCCATTCTCTAGAATTCAGGCCTGCCCACTCTGTTATTCCTTCCTACCTGTGCCAGCTACTGGGTATCTAACATAACTGAGGGCCATGGTCCCTGCCCTCCTTGTGCCCACATTCCAACACAGGAGATAGTAAACAGGCCCAAAAGCCAAATATTTATGCACACTAAACAATCAACACAATTCTGATAAGTGTTGCAAAGGAACCAAGAAGAATGCTGGAATGCAGAATATTTTGAAGGGGACACCTATTTTAGAAAGTGTGGTTCAAAAGGGACTCTGGGCCCTGGCCGGTTTGGCTCAGCGGTTAGAGCGTTGACCTGCGGTCCTGAGAGACCCGGGTTCGGTTCCCGCTAGGGGCGCGTGCCTCGGTTGCAGTTTGTCCCCGGCCCTGGTCGGTCGTGTGGGTGGCGGCCACTCGATGTGTTCCTTTCACGTCGATGTTTCTCTCTCTCTCTCTGTTCCTCTCTCTCTCTCCCACTCTACCTGAACAAAAAAATGGGAAAATGTCCTCGGGTGAGGGTAAAAAAAACCCCAAAAAACCAAAAGGGACTCTGGGAAGGTGACCTAAATGATTCAGAAATGCCCCATGGGATAAGCTTTCCAGGTGGGGCAGACCGTGCAAAGGCCCTGAGACAAGAAAGATCTTGATCAGCCCTAGAAACACACCCAAAGGTCAGCATGACTAGAATGGGGTTGAGGAGGGAAGGGAGGCATCTGGTGAGAGTGGCAGAGGAAATGTGCTAAGGGCTTTGTGGACACTAGATGGAAGCCTCGGATGTTCAGAGAAGAAAAGTGACTTCCTACGGCTGTTGGAAGCCATACAGCTAGTCAGCATCCAAGCTGGTATACTCTGGTTCATCTGACTTTACACCCTTTGCATGCTGCCCGGCCAGTGTGGCTCAGTGGATTGAGCATCATCCCGTGGACTGAAATGTCCTGGTTTGAGGCCTGGGCAGGGCATATGCCTGGGTTACGGTCTCGATCCCATGGGCCTATTGATGTTTCTCTCTCACATCGATGTTTCTATTTCTCTCTCTAAAAAAACCAATTAAGCCCTGGCCAGTTTGGCTCAGCGGTTAGAGCATCGGCCTGCGGTCCAGAGAGACCCGGGTTCAGTTCCCGCTAAGGGCGCGTACCTCAGTTGCAGTTTGTCCCCAGCCCTGGTTGGTCGTGCGGGTGGCAGCTACTTGATGTGTCCCTTTCATGTCTATTTCTTTCTCTCTCTCTCTCTCTCTCTCTCTCTCTCTCTCTCTCTCTCTCTCTCTCCCCCTCTCCCTCTCCCTCTCCCTCTCCCTCTCCCTTCCTCCCTCCCACTCTATCTGAACAAAAAATGGAAAAATGTCCTCTGGTGAGGATAAAAAAAATCAATTAAAAAATATTTAAAGATAAATCCTTTGCATGTTATTGTAGTTATGCCACACAGACAATAAAAATAAATAAAGCATATGCCCTGGCTGGGTAGCTCAGTTGGTTAGAGCATCATCCCGATATGCCAACGTTGCAGGTTTGATCTTTGGTCAGGGCACATACAAGAATCAACTAATGAATGCATAAATAAGTGGGACAACAAAATCAAGGTTTCATGCTCTCTCTCTAAATCAATAAATTAAAACATATACATATTTAATCCATTAGGAAAAAAATGTAAGCATATGTCTTAAAAAATAAAAGTTGAGTGGCATGAAGGAAAGAATCCAAAAATGAAGACTTTTTAAAAAGTTAGGGTAAGCCCTGGCCGGTTTGGCTCAGCGGTTAGAGCGTCCACCTGCGGTCCGGAGAGGCCCGGGTTCGGTTCCCGCTAAGGGCATGTACCTCGGTTGCAGTTTGTCCCCGGCCCTGGTTGGTCGTGCGGGTGGCAGCCACTCGATGTGTCCCTTTCACATCGATGTTTCCCTCTCTCTCTCTTCCTCTCTCTCCCTCCCACTCTGTCTGTACAAAAAATGGAAAAATGTCCTCGGATGAGGATAAAAAAAAACAAAAAAAAAAAAAAAAAAGTTAGGGTAAGCACATTCCTGCCTCTGTGTGTTTACTCTTGCGTTTCCTGCTGCCTGGATGCTCTTCCCTAAGCTACCCACGGGGCTGGCTCTCCTATTTCACACAAGTCATTGCTCAAATGTCACCTCCTCAAAAAGGTCTTCCCAGAACCTCCCTAGCTAAAATCGCCTGCACCTACTACCGTCCCTGTTCCCCTCTCTTCCAATCTTTTCTTCAAAGCACTTACAATCACCTGACATAAATTTTACTTATTCACTTGTTTATTGAATGAATTAGGCAATAATCTTCAAAGACAGGTTGTTGATCTTTCTACACACTGACCAGAAAACCCCCGACTTGTGGAAATGGCAGGTCAGTCCCCACAGTTCATGCTCGGTATAGGGACAAGCACATCCCTGCAGACTCCCCTAAATATTTCTAAGTAATTGGAGCCATGTAAAAGCATGTGATTTCTGGCTCCAGCTTGCTTTGGTCGCTCCCCTCAGCATGGACTTTCCTCCCCAGTGGGAACAGTAAAGGACCTGTGATGCTGCAGAGCACTGGGGACCTGTATCAGACAGCCCAGAGCCCTGGTAAAGCTGATGGCTAGACTACATGTCCTGATCTGTCCCCTTGCCAACAGCACCCCATCAGCAGGAGCTGGCCCCAGCTGCTGCTGCTCCCAGTTGGAGGCTTAAGTGCTTTTGCTTCTTGTGCATTCCCAAGGGGATCCAGGCCCCCTTCTGCCCCTCCCTTATGTACCTGGGTCTTCCCTACCTTCATACCCCTGCCCACCAGGAGCAAACCTGCCCTTCTTGTGTCTGAACCACTTGTCCCAGCATGGGGCATGTGGCTCTGGGCTCAGCAGCCAGGGCCCAATCTCAGTTCTGATACCTCCTGGTGCTGTGAAGTGGCATGTAACCACATCTTTTTGAGCCTCAGTGTCCTCTATCTATAAAATGAGCCCAATAACAGTAACTACCTCATAGATCGTGTGACGATTAAAAGAGATTATGCACACTAAGCGATCAAAACAGTACCTGGTGCACAGAAAATACCCGTTATTATACTTTCTTGTCTCTGTCCTTTGGGCTGTGACCTGCCAATGTCCTGTGTGCCTGATCCTCAGGAGGCCTTGGGCCTGCCCAGTTCCTGATTTTGCCAAGAACCCTGGACCTTGCCCTAGGAAACCAGGCCCACTGGTATGTGGATTCATGCATGACCCTACTCCTCTCTTGACCTCAGCCTTTGTAAAATGGCTACAAGGTAAGCCCCATGACCTCCAGGGTACCAGGAGTTCCGATGTCTATTATATCTCATCCTTCTCTTGTGCAAATATCTTCAATGGCTCCCCACAGCCTAGTGGAGGTCCTTTCTAGTGCTGTCACAGCCAGTGGCTGTCAGCCCCCATCTCCTGCCCCTGACTGCACACCCGCTCGGCCATGGTCAAGCCCTGTTAATTCTCTGAAGCGCCATGTTCTCACTCCTCTAGGGCCCTCTGCACAGCTGTTGCCCTGCCTGGACCGCCCTCTTCTTACCTCCCTCTAGCTAACTCCTGTTTTTCTGACACCCCCTTGAATACATTAAAGGCTTCGCCCCTGTGCTCTCATGGTCCTTAAGCTCCACCCCTGCAACATGTATCACACTATCGGGGCCTAAGCTATGAATTCCCCAGGACTGGGACCATCTGGTTTACTTCTCTGGTCTCGGCCCAGCCTGCGGCTTGACAGAGAGTTGGGGGCTTACTGGCTGCTTCATCAATAAACACAGGACTAAATGAATATAAGGACTCCTCAGCCCTGACAATCCTCTGCAGCCAAGGCTCTTTCCAGGCCCACTGTGATGCTGGAGGAGAGTGGCCCTGGGGAACATACCTGACAGGTGTACTCAACGCCTGTGGGGCAGTGCAGGGCCCGGTAGGCCCGGCCGCCCTCCTCGGGCTCCAGGAGGACATAGGGCCCAAGCCGGGAGGCAGTGGTCACAGTAGAGGCACGAACTGGAGTAGGGGATGGTCTCAGGGGCAGTGGGCAGGGGGGCAGCCTGGGCTGGGGTCCACTGCGAGCTTGTTTCCGGGTGGGACACTCAGTGTCTAGGTCATCATCCAACTTCAACTGCTTCTTCCTGGAGGAAGCGCCCATAGGAGCTGCCAGAGGGGTGGCTCGCATCTAGGAAAAAGGAAAGTTACCAAAGTGAGGCTGTCTGGTGGCCCGTCTTCCCCTGCTGGTGGGAGGGCACATTGGCACAACTTTACAAAAGGTGTTTGGCAGTGTTCATTAAACTGTCAACTGCTGGGTGTCTCACTTCTGGGATTTATCCTCCAATTAAAATGCTTGCCAAAAAATTAAATTAAATATGTAAAAGGCTGTTCATTAGAGCATTGTGTCTAAGAGCAAAAGGCAGAAAACACTCCCAAACGTCCAGCATCAAGAGGCTGGTTAAAATATCATGGTATAGCCATGTAGTAGAATACTATACAGTTCTGAAAAAGGACCAGGAAATTTTCTACATACTGACGTAATGATACAAGTACAAGGTTATTCCTGCAGCACATGTGATAGAAACAACTGAATGCCCATCATTAAGGGACTGGTTATATAAGTTACATTTCATCCATGATTGTACCCATTTAAAAGATTGAGGAAACTATTGCTAATTGAAAAGATCTCCAGAGTGAACTATTAAGTGGGAAAAAAAAAAAGAAATGAAGCGGAAAGATGGACTTGGTTGGTAAGAGGAAAGAAGAGAAACTTGGCAGCTAGTGCCTGTGAAAGTAAGGGAGGGATGGAAGGAGTGGGGAAGGAGGGAGGAAGGATGATGAAAAATGATGAATGAATAAGGTATGTATAGATTAATGTATACTCTGGAATGGATCTATTGTCAAGTGAACAAAGTGAGCTCCTAAACAATACACATAAGATGATCTCATTTATGTAAAAATCCCCAGCAGTATGTACTATGATGTGTCTCCATATTTACATAGATATAGATATGGAAATGCACAGGAAAAGGTCTGCAAGGACCCAGATCAAACTGGCCACAAAGTAGCTCCTGGTTTCCTGGGAGACCTCTAGGACAAGAAGGGATTTGGTCAGGAGGCAAGTGAATGTTTTATCTCAATATTTTATTTTTACTTATGTCTTGTTGTTAATCCTTACCTGAGGATATCTTTCCACTGATTTTTAGAGAGAGTGGAAGGGAGAGAGGGAGAGAAAGAAGCATTAATATGAGAGAGACATGACCCTGACCCGGGTCAGGGATCGAACCTGCAACCCGGGCACATGCCCCTTGACTGGGAATTGAACCAGTGACCCTTTGATTCATAGACCGATGCTCTAACCACTGGCCAGGGCTGAATGTAAAATCTTTATCTTATTTTATTCTTTTATTGATTTTTAGAGAGAGAAGAAGAGAGGGAGTGAGACAGAAACATTGATGAGCGAAAACATCGATTGGCCACCTTCTGCATGCCCCCCAAATGCTCCCCCAAGTGCCCTGGCTGGTGTGGCTCAGTGGTTGATCATCGACTCATGCACCAAGAGGTCACCAGTTCAATTACCAGTCAGGACACTGGCCCAGGTTGTGGGCCCGATCCCCAGTGGGGGGCATGCAGGAGGTGGCCAACTGATGTTCTCTCTCATCAATGTTTCTATCTCTTTCTCTCTCTAAAAATCAATAAAGAAAAAAAAAAAATACTGAAATAGCCCTGGCTGGTGTTGCTCAGCGGTTAGAGCATCGGACTGTGAACCGAGGGGTTGTGGGTTTGATTCCCAATCAAGGGCACTTACCTGGATTGCAGGTTCTATCACTGGCCCTGGTCCAGATTGTGTGGGAGGCAATCAATCGATATGTCTCTCTCACATCGTTGTTTCTTTCTGTTTCTGTTTCTCTCTCTTTCTCTTTCTCCTTTTCCCTCCATCCTTCCCTCCCATCCACGCTATCTAAAACTCAATGGAAAAATACTCTCGCCCTGGCCAGTTTGGCTCAGCGGTTGAACGTCGGCCTGCGGACCAGAGAGTACCTGGTTCGGTTCCCGCTAGGGGCACGTACCAAAAAAAAAAAAAAACAAAAAAAGGAAGAAAAACAGGTGAGGATTAACAACAGCCCAGATTCACACCCACAGCAGAGAGGGGCACACACACCATTAAGTGACACACATCTCCCTCCTTGGGCAAGGTGATCCCTGGCTGTGTAGATGCTTTGTGCCCTGTGAAGCAGGCACCCTGGAGTGGTTCTCCGGAGGTTGTATCAGCACTCCAGGCTGCTTTGAGCCTACCCAAGGGCAAGGTGCAAGCACACACACACAATGAGCTCTCCCACCTCCCACATTCAGGAGTGTATGCCTGATACCAACCAGGCTACGCACAGTCGGACATGCCCCTGTCCCCTGCCCCCGCACTCCCGGGTCGACCGGGGCCTCGCCCAGCCTCCCGTAGCTAGCCTCCACCCTTGGGACCGGAAGCCACGGCCCCCGGTGTCCGGGGCAGAAAGTTCTACGGAAATCAAGGGGCAGCTGGGGGACCCGGAGAGGCTGGGGCAAAGGGAAGGCTGCCGGGCCCCAGGGCTGAGGGAAGGGGCGCAGCTGGACCCTCGCCTCCCGCTTCCAGTCTGTAGGTACAACACACACCGTCTTCAGGAATAAACACACAGGCGCGCACAGTGCGACGTGCAAACCCGCAGCCGCACTACACCGCGCACACCTGCGGGGACGCCGGCAATCACCTGGGTCCCGCCTCTCGCCGCGTCGGCTCCCACACGCCCGGCACGGGTCCCCCGCCCCCAAGGCGGCCCAGCTCTGCCCGACCCAGCCCTGTCCCCGCACAGCCAACACCTGCTGTCAGGCGCGCGGCCGTCCTCCCAGCTCGCACCGTCCACACAGACACGAGTCCCGAGACACCTCCCACCCAGACGCGGACTCCGCAGACACCCACCCTCTCAGGGACACAGACGCTACACACAGTCGCCCATTCCCCCAAAGTCCCTCACACACAGACCTCCCCGCACCAAACCACACGACTCTCCCGCCCCGCACGCACCCAAAACACACACAACTACACACCTCTGTAGGGCGACACTCGGACGCCTCAGTGCACGGCTCCCTCCGCCTCCGGGACACAGCTGCCACTCGCGGGGGGTGGGTAGGGCACCGTCCCCCCAGTCGGAGTTGGCTAGACCCCAAGCCCGGGGGCCGCGTCACCTGAGAGCCGGCGGGAACACGCGGCCCAGGTGGCACCCCCACCCTCTCGACGGCGGGTTTGTTACAAGTTTTGTGTGTGTAACGGAGGCTCCCGGGCCACCCCCCACCCGGCGGCCCTTCCAACCAACCCGCCCTGGCCCCTCGCCGGGTACCTTGCCCCGGTGCCACGGGCTCCTGCCGCCGTCCGAGCTCAGAGTCGCCTGGGCACCCCTGGTAAACTGGGACCCGCTCAGCCGCGACAGAGCTCAGGGTCCGTGGGGGCTGCGGCCCGGACCCCCACAGCCTGACGCGTGCGGAGCCGCCGCCGCTTCCGCTGCAAGTGCCTCGGAGACGCGCCGCGCCAGGCTCCGGCTCTGACCCGAGTGATGTAAACTTGAGCTAATCGGCCGCCGCATGATGCGCTCCGGCGGAGGATTGCACCAGCCCTGGCGCTCCGCCCCTCGGGTCACGATCCGGCGCGCCCCGCCCCGCCCCGGCCCCGCCCTCCCGGTCCAGGGCACCACCCGCCTCTCCGACCTTCTAGGGGTGTCTCGTCTTCCCCTCCCGCCCCGTGTCCGAAGCCTCAGTGTACACACCAGCCACTGACTCTCCCCATCATCTTGGAAAAAACATTTTGCTTTTCTGAGCCTCAGTTTTCCCCTCTGTGAAATGGGAATAACGTTTTCCCTTCTCAGGGTGGTGCTGAGGACAAAAAGAGCAAACCATGGCAGTCTCCTGGGTGCTTCCCGGTTATAAAGCACTTCCCCACCATTGCTTTAGAGAACCCGTGGCAGGCGGAAGTTCCAGTATTCCCATTCTACTAAGGTGCAGCTGGAGGCTCAGCTATGGGAAAGCAGCCCAGGAACTTTGCAAAACTCAGACTTCCAGGAGCCGACTCAGGGCTCGAAAGGACCAGTAGAGCGCCTTCCGGAGGCCTGAAGTTGGGTGGGCTTCACAGCATTCATTTGATAGAGGCAGGGCCGCCTAATGGTTAAGAGCAAGCACCCTAAAACCAGCCTGCCCAAGAACCACTACCCAGAACCACTGTACTACCTCCGGAAAGCTGTTTATTTATTTATCTATTTTATTTTATTTTTATTTTATTTTTTTTATCTTCACCCAAGGACATTTTTCCATTTTTTGTTCAGAAAAAGTAGGAGGAAGAGAGAGAGAAAAACATTGATGTGAAAGGTACACATCGAGTGGCTGCCACCGCCAGGGCGAGGACAAACTGCAGATATGTGCCCTTAGCTGGAACCGAACCCAAACCGGCCAGGGCAGGAAAGCTATTTAAAACCCTGCTTCTGCTTCCTCTTCTATTAAATGGGCTAATAAATAGTACAAAATTAAATTAATACATATGAAATGCTTAAAACATTGTGTGGTACACTGTAGGTGCTCAGTGAGAAGAATGGACACTCAGAGAAGAGAATACATCTATAACAGGACTTGCACTCTAGGTCTAGCAGGCCCCAGTGGCACCTGCTACTTGGTGAAGCAGCCCTGTGCAGCCCCAGGCATCCAGCACCTTTCAGTGGAAATCCTTTTTAGGTCTTGTTGTGGGAATATACCAGTGTCAAAAAATATCTCCTCAGGAAGAGGTTGAATGGGAGTTGAAGGGAGTCATCTTTGTTTTCCAGGTTCCAGACCCCAGGGACCAGCTCACCTGTGTCTCAGAGCCTTCAGGGCAGAGCAGAGCAGAGGATTCTGGGATCTCATTTAACCCTGGAGACTCCCCTGCCTGGGAGGGATAAATGAATTCATTTTCTACAGGAGGACACCTAGACTCAGGTTGGAAGTTCCCACAGCTGTAAGGGGCAAAGAAAGGCAGAGATGGTTGTCTTCTGAGCACATCTACGAAGCTGGCACTCTGCGGGGTTTATTCACACATTCCTAGCATTGTTTCATGCTGCGTCAGGTTCTAAATGCAGGGGACTCATTGGTGACAAGACTGACCAATCCCTGTCCTCGTGGATTCTATAAATCAGTAGA